TGTGGCAGACAGGAGGGCCGGATCAGTACAGATCTTTACAGAGTCAACACCTGGTTGGGAGGGGGGTCAGGAACAGAGAAATCAGTGCCACCCGATTTACGGGCCCTTTTAGGCACCAGGCAGCGAGGGAGGAGCTGGAGGCTGTGTAGCCCATGAAGCAAGGTTCCCAGCCCCCAGGAGTTCCCAGGCCTTTGAAGAAAACATGAACGATTGCAACTGTTTTTGAAACATGGTACCTGACATTCCACTGGAGAAGGAACAAATTGGGAGATCTTTTAGGGAACTTACAAATGTAACTGGGGAGAAAAGACACAGATTGGAGTAAGAAAATGCACAACGGCACACACAAATGTCCCCACGGTTACCGCTCATCTCAACGGCCCCTCCTGTCTAAGGTTTTCATTTTAGCCAATCTTTGCCTTGGGTCTCCCTGCCACTCTGATCATTTCCGTAACAGCTGCCAGAAAGAGATCTCTAACATGCAAGTCTGATCACAGGTTTCCTGTGCTTCGAGTCCTTTAGAAACGGTCCCCTGTGTTGGGCGTGGTGGTGCACATCTGTGATCACAGCACTTGGGAGGCTGAGGCAGGAGGATCACCAAGAGTTCCAGGCCAGTCTGGGCTACAGTGAGTTCAAGGCCAGCCTGAATTGTATAGAAAGACAAAGAAAGAAAGAGATAAAGAAGGAAGGAAGGAAGGAAGGAAGGAAGGAAGGAAGGAAGGAAGGAAAAGCAAGAAAGGAAGAAGAGAAGGAAGGAAAAGAAAGAGGAAGGGGAAGAGAAAGGGAAAGGAAAAGAAAGAGACTGCCCATCACTTGCAGTCCTGTGCCTCAGCAGGGCACCGAGGGCTGTGCATAACCCTACAACAGTCCTACGCCTTTCTAACAAGCACCTCAACTCCACCACACCATCCCAGTCACCCTCACCTCAATTCCCCTTGCATGGAAAGTCATATTTTCCATATCCAGTGACAAAAAAATCCATCCATAAAGTTGCTTCTTGCTTCACTTCTTCCGTGAATCCAGATGAACCACTCTCCACTTCCTCCTCTGTACCACCAGACCTTACTCATCCTTCTACTTCCCCATGTGTTTTGGACCTTGGGCTTCCTGTCCTGTCATCCCTGCTGGGCTCAAAGCTCCTTTAGGAGGAAGAGGGTGTTCTGGTCCATCTTGGTGTGACTCAGGGCCTGCTATATAAAGCCCGGGCTGTGACTCTGTTGCTAAGCTGCAGGGAGGCTGAACAGACAAAAGCAAACCACCACCGAGGCCATGTGAAGGTGCAGCCATGAACATTAGGCCGTGAAGGCCACGACTAGGGTGCCTGGAAGTATAAAGGACAGCAGCCATTTACTGGCCACTAACTCCAAGGAACTGTGCCGAGCATTTTATAAGACTCACCTCCTTCATTCCTTACAGTAACCTGTGAGGTGACCATCAGTATCCCCAATTTACAGATGAGAAGACCAAGGCACATATAAACTTAACAACTTGTCCAGCTAGGGAGGAGACACCTGGAATTCCAGATACTTGGGAGGCAGAGGCAGGAAGATGGCAAGTCTGACACCAGCCCGGGCAACTTAGCAAGGCTTTTTGTTCCAAAATAAAAAATAAAAAAGGGCTGGGGATATAGATCAGTGCTCCTCTTCCCTTGATGGCCGCTGTTTCCTGCCAGCCATGCCACAAGCTGTTTCTCTTCTGCATGCACCTGTTTTTTTTTTGTTTGTTTGTTTTTTTTTTTGAGACAGGGTCTTGCTATGATGTAGTCTAGGCTGGCCTTGAACTCACTGTGTAGCACAGGCTGGCCTTGGAAATCACAGCAATTCTCCTGGCTCTGGGTCCTGAGTGCTGGATTACAGGTGTGCACTATTACGCCTCACCTGCCAGGCCCCTCTGTCATGCCGCCCTGCCTTAGAACCACCTGACTATGGACTGAAACCACAAGCCAAAATAAACCTCTCCTCCTTTAACTTGTGGGTGTCAGGTATTTTGCCCCAGCATTGAGAAAGTAACTAAGATAAGACATGATATCAAAGTTCTATGCGGGACACCAGTAAAACTGATCAATACAACAAATAGGATTTATGTTCCTACCGTCTTTAAGAGAGGAGGAAACAGAGTGTTGACCAGTCGAATAAGGAAAAGTATAGAAGTGAGCGCATGTATCATTATGCCCTACTACCCTAGAAAGAATAAATCAAGCAAGACTTTCTGAAGATTTTTCCCCCCCAGTCCTGGGGGAACCCAATGACTGCACTGAGCTACATTCCCAGCCCTTAAAAAACAAAAACAAACTTTTATTTAGTTTGGAGGCAGGATCTAAGTCGAAGCTGCCCAGGCTGGCCTCGAACCTGTGAACCTCTTGTCCCCCACCATGTCTGGCTCTGAGGACTGGGAGATGCAGCCACGTAGGAAGAGTCTGCGAGGAAGCGCGGAGGTGGGGAGAACTTCGGATTGTGCCCACGTGGGGTCTGGGTGATAAGAATGGGCAGAGGTCCCTGGGCAAAGGCTTTGAAGCCAACAGCTCCTGCCTGTAACTGTGTTGTGATGAAAATGACCCTCCAGGGCGGGGGAATTTAGCTCAGTGGTTCCACCGCCTGCCTTGCAGGCGCAAGGTCCCGAGTTTGATCCCCAGTACCAAAAAAAGAAAATGACCCTCCAAGTCAAGATTATAGTTGGTTAAAAAGAAAAACAGAGCTTTTAAGACTTTCCTTCCTCATTCTAAATATACCTAGATGGTCTACTGTCCTTTCAAGAGCACATGTTTCTCCTTACAATCATTTTTCTATCCTACTGGAATTAGTTTTTTCATCTTTCCAACAGACTGTGCACACGCCAAGGATAAGAACCATACCTAAGCAAAAACCAAACTCTTTCCCTCCCTCTGTAGCACTGGGGATTGATGGGGTCCTTCACTTTGAACTACATCTCTAGACCTTTTCTTATTCATTTTTTGGTACTAAGGAGTGAACCTAGGGCCTTCACACTGAGTTACAGGTCTGTCCCTTTTCATTTTGAGACGAGGTCTTGTTAAATTGCCCAGGTTGGCCTCAACTTGGAATTTTCCTGCCTAGGGCTCCAGAATAGCTGGGATTTTGGGCATGTGCCACTATACGTGGCTGGCAGGGTCTATGTATTCCAGGCTGGCCTTCAACTACGTAGCCCAAACTGGCCTGGAGCTCACAGTGATCCTCCTGCCTCTGCCTCGCAAGTGCTGGGATTACAGGTGTGGGCCACCTCATTCAGATCTGAAACTGTAAACTCTTTAGTGTCAGCTGCAATGTTAGAGAATCCAGTGTAGGAGATTAATGCTGAGTATCTGTAATGCTGGAGATGGCAATGATATTCTGACTAGCAAGTACTTAGAGAGGGTAGAACACAAACAGGGTACTATTAGAAAAGAGTACACAGAAGAACTGAGATATTTTTTGACACAGGGTCTATGTAATTCAGGTCGGCCTTGAACTTAGCCGAGGCTGGCCTCAAATTCACAGTGATCCTCCTGCCTCAGCCTAACTGCTGGGATTACAGGTGTGCGCCACTATGCCCAGCCCGAGATAAACTCTTAATATAAGGGGTCCTTATCGCTAGTTAGGGAGCTAGAACATCACAAATACAGCAGCAAGTGCAAAGTAACAGAGCAATAGTGTGAAATTAAATGCACGAGTGCTGATGGGATTCAAAGGAAACATGAGCCATTTTCAGGTAAGTTCAACCCAAGTTATCAAAGGTAGTTATTTTAAGCACTAAAAGCTAAATACTAAATATAAAAGCTGCCTGTGTCAACAAGGGCCTTGGCTATTCCCAAGGAGAGTGAGTGCTGGCTGTCTGGAGCGTTAACTCTTCCAAGTCCTCCTTCTCACACATCCATCAAGTGTTCATCCCCAGCTGCTTCCTCCTTTAAACTCTGCTCCCGGGGAAATCTCCATCTTAACTGCCCCAGGTCGAAAACGGGCTCCAGGATCCTAATTTAGGGGCAGACCTTGCCTGGATTCCAGCCCGTCATTCTCCGCCTACCCTTGCTCCTCAAGGGAGGTTAAATCCTCCCGCCTGCTCTCCATTTTCTAGTCTGATAGCTCTTCTGGCCTAATACTCTGGACCAACCTCTCCTTCGGAGACGCTTTCATTATTACGTAAATATCCATTCCTTTACCCGGCTCCAGCTTCACTAAAAATATTCCTTCTTCTTTCTCCCTCCCCCAACTCTTGGCTCAAGCAAGCATCTGGAATACAGAGGTTATTTGAGCTAAGTGGGTTCCACGCTTCTGACTCTAGTAAAGCATCCTTATATTCAAGAAATAAAACAAACCCGGACTCCCCCGCTACCCACTTTCTAAAATCCACACAGTGGGCAAGGCGGTGGGCGCTCGCCACAGAGCTCAACTGGGAATTCTTCGGAGCTAGTTTTTGGAGCAGGGCGCTGCCTCTTCCTGCAACGTGAACAGCTAACTTACTTGCTGTTCACTCGCGGCAAAGACAATGTCTCCTCTACCAGACAGGAAACTTCCTCCTGACGATCGCCGCTCTTTCGTTCCTAATTTAAATCCCCACTCCAAACCCTTTGGGACACAAGAACGGCTCTTAGAACACAAAGTTTCTTCTGTAAAATACCTCTGCCTAACTTTTGAGTTTTTACGAGAAACGTAAACGTTCTTTATTCAATTAAGTAACGAAGAGGTTAAATCTCGGCAACCTGATGGATTCTGGGGGTTTCCTTGACTCCAGAAAAACACGACCGGGAAGAGAAATTTTGCCCAAGATAATGACGAAAACCGTTAACGTCAACTGTTAGGCTTTATGCCCCACACAAGAATGGCTACTCACGCCCACAAAGGGTGCCACTCACCGAACTAAAAATGGTCGGCCCAAGGTTCTACTATTTGTGTCATTTCCTGCCCAATTCCAAAATGGCGCTCACTAGCTTCACCCCAAGAAGAGAACCCCCCAGCACTCGCTGTGGCCCGTAACGTCACGTGACGCGAGACCCAGCCGGAAGTGAAGGAAAAAGCGCTACAGCCCGCGGCGCCTGCGCAGAAAGCTCTAGACGCTGAGAGGCAGGAGGCACTTGAGATCGTCTGCAGGGTTGGGACTGCTACAGAGGCCGCCACGGAGCCCGCCGGAGCCACCGTTCCTCCTGCTGCTGCCTCTGCCCGAATCGGAACCGTCGGGCCGCAGCCGCCGGCAATGCCGCGAAGGAAGGTGAGGAATGGGAGAAGAGGGATGGCGGGTTTCTAAGAGCAGTCGATGGAGCAACGTGACGCAGTTGGTCACGCTTCACCGTGGACGGAATCCCACTTCCCGCTCCCCCAAACCTAGCTCAACAACCCTCTCTTCTCTTCTGCCGTACCCGACAGAAAAATGTGGGCCCGACCCTGGCCTCGGCCTATGCTTGCAACTATTCCCGCCCTCTGCTTGCCTGGATCGAAGGCGTTCTTATTGTTAATTGGCCGATGAAACGTCTCGAAGAATATGGATTGGCTGATGACGCCGCCTGTTTGGCTCAACGGTCACCTCCCCGCGTGCGGGGGCGGTGTCTGGGTCCGGCCCCGGCCCTCCGCGATTGGCTATGGAGAACGATCCCTCCTGCATTGATTGGCCAGGCTTGGCAGTCTGTCCCGTGGGGGCGCGGTTTACCGGGGCCCTGGTTGGATGGCCCGAGTCCCCGCCCACCGGGTGGGATGCTGATAGGCGCAGAGGCGGCGTTTGTTGTGACGCCTTCCCTTCCAGGTGGGGGCACAACAAAGCGGAGAGATGGGTGGTGGGGAACCAGCGCCCACTCCCTGGGGATCGCACCCGGGCTTGTTGTGTCTAAGTCAGCATCTTCCATTATTTGCTTAGTTTGGCAGTGCCTAGAAAATGTAGTTCATAAAATTAAAAGAAAAAACTTTTTAGATTTAAAAGCTCACACAGGAACACTTCCATCTTTTTTTCCCACAATTGAACACATGGAACCCTACCGGCGTCTTCCCAAGCCACTCTTCAGGCAATGGGAGAGCCACAGCTGTGGAACTAACGTAATTCAATGTCTGTGAAGTTTCAGGGTCGAGCCAGGAAGAGCTGGTCAGAGAGATTCACACATCTGGGGACGTGGCTTTAAGAGCCCCTTCCTCTCTGCGATTTGCTGTGACTCTGCCTGGGGTTTCTGTTCACTTTTGAAAAGATGACTCATGAAATATCTGCAAAGCTGCTCACTTCTGCAGAACTCTCTTTGCAAAAGCTTTCCAACTCAGATATTTACACTTGTAAATATCTCCTGAAATGACCTAAGTTCGTAAGGTGGTATTTATGTTAAGAGGTGCAGAAACAATGTCGTTTCCTTGGCCCGCGAGTCCCTTTCTGCAATTTTCAAATATAGTGCGTTCTCGAAAATCTCAGTTTTTTTAGTGGCAAACCTGTCCTAAGCGACCCTCAGCCCACTCGTGGCTTTTATGTGTCTCATTTAGTAGGATTGTTCATGTGTTTTGGTGCAGAAATAGTTATGTGTCTGATTATGGAGGGTTATTTACAGGATATATGTAAAGTGCCCACTTTTAAAAGTCTAAAACAGAAGTAGTCCTAAGTGGCTGACTCTTTGAATACGTAACCAAGTGTTAGGGCTGGGGATATGTCTCAGTGGTACTCGATCCTGCTTATAGATTGAACCTCAGTAATGCTTTTAGCGCTACAGTTTTTGTTTTCCAGTTTGGTGAAAAAAGCAGTGTTAATGCACAGTTGAACAAATTATCTTTATGGCCTATGGCTGTGCACTAATAATTAACCAGTAACTGTTAACTGAAATAGGAATTTTTAAAAGCCTGTTTTTGAATATGGGTGAGTTTGAGTACAAGTCATCTTTTTTAGGACTTCTGGCATTCCTGTGGAGAAATGTCGAAGAGAGCTGGGATAAGGAAGAAGAATTTTTATCCTTTTCTGCCTAAGTTCTTTTATAGTCAAGTTACAAGCTGTTTTTTAGGATATGTGCGTGCGTGCATGTGTGTGCACCCGTGCGTGTATATGTGTATCGCTCTCTCTCTCTCTTTTTTTTTTTTTTTTTTCCCCAGGGTCTTACTGTGTACTGCAGGATGTCCTTGAACTTACTGCGTAGCCCAGGCTGGCCTCGAACACAGCAGTCTACCTGCTTCAGCCTCTTGAGTGCTACAATGACAGGCATGCCCCACCACACCTATCTCTGCTTCATATTTTGAAGTGGTGTGTGATTTTTTTTGTGTGTGTGTTTTCCCCGCTGTGGTGCTGGGGATCTTAACACTGAGCCACACCCCAGCCTAGTGTATGGTTTTTTAAAAATGTGATCTCTATTTGTGGAGACTTGGAGTACAATTTTCCCTAACATTTTATTTTATTTTTTATTTTTAATTTCTGGTACTGAGGATTGAACTTGGGACCTTGGGCTTGCAAGGCAGGCAGTGGCACCACTGAGCCAAATCCCCAGCCCTTCCCCAACATTCTAAATGGGTTCTCGTGCCAACATTTTCTGCACTGCCTCGGACTCTCCCTTGGTGTGCGTATGTCAGCCAGACCACTTTGAGTTGAGTGCTTTTACTTGCAGTTAGTGGTGCTGATCATTAAATAGACGGGGTTCATAATTAGTGATAATACGGTAAGAATTCAGTGTCTTTTCTTCATTTACTTAGCAAAGGTGCCTTTGTGTAGGTTGCTCCACTTGAATGCCCCAAATAAAGGGAAGCTGGATCTGGGCAGGGAGGGGAAAGGCCTGTGGGGTTGTTTCTTAGGTTTGAGCTTGGTGTTTCAAATGTTGCGGTCCGTTTTGTTTCCAGTGCTAATGAAAATCCACAGAGTCAGTGCTTCTGTGCTAATGTCTGGATCTATGGTATTGCAGAGGAATGCAGGCAGTAGTTCAGATGGAACGGAAGATTCCGATTTTTCTACAGATCTTGAGCACACAGACAGTTCCGAGAGCGATGGCACATCCCGCCGCTCTGCCCGCGTCACCCGCTCCTCGGCCCGGCTCAGCCAGAGTTCCCAAGGTAAGATCCTCCTCCTGCCTGAGTGGGCCTCGTCATGCACTAAGTGCTCATTGTATTGTTGTGTGAGTAAGGTGGAGACTAGCCCTGGGCTCGGCGTGGGTGACAGAGGCATGAATGCTGCTGTGGGTGTAACGTCCAGTCTGCATGCTTAGAGGACCTGTGGCTCCGAGGCACTGGTGTGTCTTAAGTAACTTGATATTTATTTATTTATCAATTGGTTGATTGGGTACCTTGATTGGGTACTGGGGATTGAACTCAGGACCTTGTGCTTGTGAGGTGGGCGGCAGCACCACTGAGCTAAATCCCCAGCCCTCGATTTTTACTTTTTAAGACCACAGTGTCAGTATTGGTAAAACCACTATTAGAAGGGTTGAGGGGCTTAAAATAGTCTCCTGAACTTTTTCCTGCATGCGGTTTAATGCTTGTAAAAGCATGTTTTATTCTGGAATGTTCTTAGATCCACATTTGATGGTTCTAGAACTTTTGGTTCCCAGGTATTAGTGGGTAAATACCCAGAATTTTGCTTTGGTAGTAAGAAAAAGAATCTTGTTTTGCTGCCTGCCTTGAAAGCACAAGGTCCTGAGTTTGATCCCCGGTAACAACAACAACAAAAAAATCTTGACCCACTGGGCATGGTAGTGCACGCCTCTAATCCCAGCACTTAGGAGGCTGAGGCAGGAAGATTGACACGAGTACAAGGCTGGCCTGAACAATATAGCAAGATCCTGTCTCAAAAAACCAAAAAAAGAGAAGAGTCTTGGAGTTGGAAGACAGTTTGAAGGGTCTCTAGTGCAGTTAGCTATCAGAGCTTAGGTTTGAGGGGTAGCTTTGACTCCTGTGGTTTGCACAGAGATTCCTGGGGGATGCAAGAGGATTACAGTTAATATGGAATGCTGATCAATACACGGTAATAGGTCAAGGGAAAAATTATAATCTTCTTTGAACACCTGAATAGCATTGATTTGGTTACTGCTGTATAAGTGTGTTATAAAATGAGAGGAAAACATCAGTAGGAATACTCTCTCTCAATAACCATTCCTAACCATTTTCTCACACAAGTATAGATATTTTACCTCGATTTCAGAACCTTTTCAGTTTTTACCACAGTGGGCCTGTTAAATTGATGCTATAATTTAATAACTACGCTAGACTAGGATACTGAAATAGAAAGTTGATAATTCCTGCCTTAACGAAGCTCAGAGTGTAGTGTGTGATAAAGATACATGTCTTTGTTTTTACATACCCAGGGCTTTTGTACTGATCTACATCCCTGGCCCTTTTTATTTGGAGAGAGTGGCCCAGCTTGCGACCCCTCCTGCCTCAGCCTCCAGGGTACTGGGATCACAAGTGTGCACCACCCTGCCCCGCTGTGAATTGAGAGTGGGGTGGGCTGGGGATTTAGCTCAGTGGTTCCGGCGTCTGCCTTGCAAGCACAAGGACCTAAGTTTGATCCCCGGTACCACCAAAAAAAAAAAAATCCAACAGATGAGTGAGCTTCACAGCATTTTTGGGCCGGGGATTTAGCTCAGTGGTTCTGGTGCCTGCCTCACAAGCACAAAGGCCCGAGTTTGATCCCCGGTACCAAAAAAAAAGAGAGAGAGAGAGGATGCACTGTGGGAAGGGTTGTGACAGATTTATTTCCTTCGAGTGCCCTGGAAGCCCAGATGTGGGGCAGCAACTTGGAGCAGGCCTGTGGGGGGAGGCCTCACGAGATCTCACAGGAGTTTACAGGTTGAAAGATGGGAAGATGTTGTTCTAGGCAGAGGGAAAAGCATACGCAAAGAGAGGGAGATAATGTTGTGAGAAACTATAACTGGCCGTGCCCTGGACACCTGAAAGTTATGTTCGGAGACAGGTCGGAAATGCGTTAAGTTTTGTGTCTCAGTCGTTGTTGTACTCGGTGGCCACAGAGGCACGTAAATCCCAAGAGCATCATTGACAGTGTGGTCTAAGGAAGGCCACTCCCTCGAGAGCAAACCATAGGCTGCCTCTCGAACACATCCCCAGAGGTGGGGTGCAGGCGAACAGCTTGCTGCGTGCTCACTCCCCACCTGAAAGTTTGAGAGTTTCAGCGTCCTCCTTTCGAGTCTTTACAGCTTCAGCAGTATCCTAGGGTAATGTTGTGTCTCCGTTGTGCTTTAATTTTGGTTTGAATTTCTTTCATTTCCTTTGTCCTCAGGTAGGAGGTGTAAAGGGCTGCTGAGTCTTCAGGATAGGTTTTGCCTTCTGAAAGAATTTAAGAAGCCTTGTTCTTTTGTTTGTTTGTTTGTTTGTTTGTTTTTTGAGACGGGGCCTCCCTATGTAGTTGAGACTGACCTGGAACTCACTATGAAGCCCAGGCTGTCTCCAATTCACAGCGACCCTGCTGCCTCAGCCTCCCGAGTACTGGGATCACAGGCGTGCGCCACCACGCCCGCCTAAGAAGCCTTGTTCTTATCTTTAGGGTCTGTTATGATTTTCTATTTTGAGAAACAAAAGCAGCCCTTAAAGGAAATATTTGTCATACTGTTAGTAATAGAATATTTTTTTATGCAGGGGCTTTGAGGAATGTGCTGCCAGTACTTTCCCTTTGTTTTTCTTTCTTTTTCCTGCTTTTGAGACAGGGTCTCACGGTGTATGTAAGTCATTCTGGTCTTGCACTTACTACCTAGCCCAGGCTGGTTTTGAACTCGGTGATCCTCCTGCCTCATCCTCCAGAGAACTAGAATAGGCATGCGCCACCGCACCCGGCATCTTTTTTTTTTTCTGATACCACTTATCGAACTCAGGACCCTGTGCTTGCGAGGTAGGCGCAGGTGCCACTAAGCTAAATCCCCTGTCCCGAACCCAGCATCATTTTTTTTGTGGGCAGGAAACAGGCTTGAAGGATGAATTTTCCCTAGATGCCAAGCTCGTTGCTTTGGTGGTGCGGAGTTGAATCACGTTCAGTCCAGATTCCAGACCTTAGACTGTTTACGCTGTACTGTATTGTATCTCTATACCTGAACTGACCTCTTTTGCTTATGTGTTATTTAATAAAATAGATCTTCTAATGATTTGTTGGATTTTGTGGACTATGAAGAGGAGGAAGAGAAATTACCTTCTAATGAATCATACGTGGATGAGAAATAAACAGATTTCCTTCTCTTTTCCTTTGTTTTATGATTTCTTTTAAAACTGGGATCAGACTCCAGCCCTGTTAGAAACTTGCAGTCCTTTGGCACTGAGGAGCCTGCGTATTCTACCAGAAGAGTGACCCGTAGTCAACAGCAGCCCAACCCAGTGACTCCAAAAAAGTATCCCCTTCGGCAGACGCGCTCATCTGGCTCAGAAACCGAGCAGGTGGTCGATTTCTCAGACAGAGGTGAGTGGTACGCGTTGCAGGGGGTTTGGTGGGTCCCTGACGGAGGGCATGGGCACCCACAGGGATGCCTGACGCAGACCAGAGTCAGCTGGGTCTGCCTGGTACTTTTGTCTTGCTGAGGACCATGTGCTTGTGGATTTTCTTTGACTTGTATGAGATTGGACTTGGAACAGGACAAAGGGAGTAGGGCCTTCTTACCCACAGACAAAGAAGGCTTTGCCCAGTTCTCTTAGAGCTGTGCTTATCAGTCTGTTTACCTCCAGATTTCTAAGTAGAACTGGTCTTCACTCAGTTAACCTATGACATTGGGATTTACCAGCCCCAAGCCTTAGAGATTAGAAAGTGCTGAGCTGCTTCTAACCTACTGATATGGTGTGTTGCTTGCATGTATTTAAAATTTTAAAATTTGTTGCCAATACTTGGAAGTGTAGAGATTTCATATAAAAATCTGAGGACCTCACCGGCACAAAGTCCCAAGTTCAATCCCTGGTGCTAAAAAAAAAGAAAAAAATATATCTGAGTTGAGCTAGGCACAGTGGCGCATGCCTGTGATCCCAGCACTTGGGAGGCTGAGGCAGGAGGACGGCTGTGAGTTCAGAGCCAGCCTGAAAGATTCAGTAAGACTCTGTCTTTAAAAAAAAAAAAGACTTAATTGGTAGCTTGTTTTTAAACTGGTCATTTGCCCATAGCAGTAGTTGGCTGTGGCTGCAGAGTACTTATCCCCTTAGCCCGAACAGTGAGCTGTTGGAGCTTGCCCAGTCCCTGCTGTAGGGATTTGTTTTGCCATCCCTGATTTGGAGCCACTCAATTCTTGGGAATAGTAAACTTCTAAATAAATGAACCCCATTCATGGATTCTGTCCGTTACTTTTGCTTTAGAAACCAAAAATGCAGCCGATCACGACGAATCACCACCTCGAACCCCAACGGGAAACGCACCTTCTTCCGAGTCTGACATAGACATCTCCAGCCCCAACGTGTCTCATGATGAGAGCGTCGCCAAGGACATGTCCCTGAAGGACTCAGGCAGCGACCTCTCGCATCGCCCCAAGCGCCGTCGCTTCCATGAGAGCTACAATTTCAACATGAAGTGTCCCACGCCAGGCTGTAATTCTCTAGGTCAGTGTGGCCCTGCCTCCCGACACCCAGCATTCCGCGCTTCTCTCTGGAGTTAGGGTCATCCAGAGATGTCCTGTGTCCTGTTGTGATTTAGCTTCATAGACTCTTCCATGTTACCAGTAACGGTGATTGATCCTCTTGAATAAATGCATTTCCGCTTTTATTCGTAATAAATCTAGTGCAAGGCAATTAACTAAGATGGACTGTTTACTTTGGGAGATTTTCTTTTTCTTTTTTCTCTCTTGATTTTTTTTTGGTACCGGGGATTGAACGCGGGTCCTTGCGCTTGCAAGACAGGCCACCGAACCGCTCAGCTAAATCCCCGGCCCTCTCTTGAGTTTTCGAGACAGGGCTTCCCTGTGTAGTTCAGGCTCGTCTTGAACTCACTGTGTAGCCCAGGCTGGCCTTGAACTCTTAGAGATTCTTCTGCCTCAGCCTCCTGAATGCTGGATTGCAGGTGGGCACCACCACATCCGGCATTTGAGAGCTTCTCTCAGTGAACTGTTCCCTCCTTTTCCTAGCAAAAGCAAAACCAGAGAAGACCAGATCTCTCATGTGGGGTATAGTTCCCGCTTTTGAAGGCCAGTGGAGTGGAGCCAGTGCAGAATGGTGGTCTCACGGCCACAGCTGGTGAGGAAATGAGAAAAACAGATTTTTTTATGAAGAGGCCGTGAGACTCATAGCATCCACATGAGCCCCTGGCCTTTTGTGACTAGTATCGGGTCTCCTGGCTTTGTGTACTTATTAAGTATAAACAAGATAAAAGATTTCTTCCTGGATAAATAAGTCTCTCATTGTTTTCGGAAGACTTTTAACCCTTACTGAATCTTTAGGGATTCTCAGGATGATTTGAAGCTTTGAGCTGAAGGGTTTTGCCTTTGTCTCAGGTTGGAAGGGTTGGTCTGGGAGAGGAGGTGTCCTTCCCTCCGAATATTCTCATTTCCCAGTGCATATGAAGGTTACGTACACTGTACTGCAGTCTCCCAAGTCTTTGGAGCAAGGTGCGCACCTTAATTTAAAAATACTTTCTTGTTAAAACATACTAATGATCGTCTGAGCTGTTAGAAAAACCGTGTCAGTACACTTGCTCCACAGATTGGCCCCAAACCTTTAATTTGTAAAAAAAAAAACAAAAACGCAGCCTCTGCAGAGTGCAGTAAAGTGAGAGAACGTCTGTATCCAAACCAGCTTGGGTAGCAGCAATGCTGCACTTTACGCAGGATCTGATCTTTTCTGACACCGGTGTCATCAAAAACAGTGCGGTGCTGGGACAGCTGAGATAGCAGCAGGCGACAGGAAGTCTTCGGTCCCTTTCAGTGTTACGGGGCCACTGTCTCCTGTGTCGTCCCGTCCGTTGTTGACCGAAACGTTGTTACGGGGTGCGTGACTGTTAGCACATTTGACAACAGTCCCGGAGATCTGGCGGTCTGAATGTCACAAACCCATCCCCTCAAATTCTTGGACAGTTTCTGCTCTTTGAAGCTTACTCTATAAATCATGTTACATCATTTTTTTAAAAAAATTGGGTTGCCCTGGGAATTGAACCCAGGACTTTGTACTGAGCTACCCCAGCCCTTTGTATTTTCTGAGACAGGGTCTCACTGAGTCAGTAAGTTGCCCAGGCTGGGCCCAAGCTTGCAATCTGCTTGCCTCAGCCTCCCCGAGTGTTGGGATAACAGCTAACGTGCTGCACGCCCAGCTGTTGCGTAATTTTTTAAATCCCAGTGTATCTTCTACCTAACATTAAATTTCTTTTTCCATCAGAGAAGGTGAAGATTTTTGTAGACTTATAATTCAGTTTAGCTACTTTATCTTTTTACCCCATTGGCATTGTCTCACCAGCCTTTTCAGTCTCTGTTCTATAAAACCTCTTGGTCGAGGAGATGTATATAAGGAAACAATTCCCTATTCCCTTTGTTTTTTTCTTTTTGTTCTTTTTTTTTTTTTTTTTGGCACTACAGATTGAATCTAGGGCCTTTGATTGAACTACATCACCAGTCCTTTTTTAATTCTTTATTTTGGGAGAGGGTCTTGCTAAGTCCCTAAGTTGCTTAGCCTGGGCTTGAACTTGGCATCCTCCTGCCTCGGTCTCAAAATGCTGTCTTATGTGACAGAATAGGCTGTTTTCTTCTCCATTTTTCATAAGTTTCTTTTGCTTATTGAAAGGAATTAAATTCAGATCAGATAGCATCACATAGTAGAAAGAATCGTACACTCATACCAGGACATGATTCATTTAACCCACCAAAAAAGTGTACCTCTTTGTAATTTCATGCCTTATTATAAATGTGTGACTTTGTGATGACATTTTGGGGTTTGGTAGTATGTATTTATATCGTCAGAACAGAAGGAGCCCCAATTTATATTAAACGTAACATAGGTATGTTGAAAGATTGCCAGGTGTGTTCTGTGAAAGAAAAAGCCTGGGGCCGCGGATTTAGCCCAGTGGTTCCGCCGCCCGCCTCACAAGCACACGGTCCCAAGTTCAATCCCCAGTACCAAAAAAAACAAAGAAAAAGACTTCGGTGGTGACAAGTTGTGATCCTAATAGCGCTTACCTTTGGTTGGTTCATCTGATAGATAAAGGTGGAATAGCAAGCACACAGGCTTGTTGTAGAGAGAAATGTCCTTTGAAGCTGAAGTCTTTCCAGGAGTGACCTCTCCCCTTCTTGAACAGGACACCTCACCGGGAAACACGAACGACACTTCTCCATCTCGGGATGCCCGCTCTATCACAACCTCTCCGCCGACGAATGCAAGGTAAACCGCCCTCTCCTCCTCTCTGCGCACTGTGGGGAGAGCTTGCTGGTGGCCTGGCGCTTGGCTGCACGCTGGGGCTGTGGCGGTGCACAAGGTGTGCGCCAGGTCCTCGTCCTTACGCTTTAGTGGAGAAATAGTTAAGAAAGAAAAAAAAAGATGTGTTCTTTGCAAAAACTGCTTGGGCAGACAGAAGAGTTACAGTATTTAGTGAGTGCTTCGGAAGACGTGAACATGGGATATTTGGGACACTGACCACCAGTGCATTGATATTTTCCATAGAAAATCGACTCCAGGGCCAGGTATTTAGCTCACTCCAGGGCCAGGTATTTAGCTCAGTGGTTTGGTGCCTGCCTTGCAAGCACAAGAACCTGAGTTCGATCCCCGGTACCAAAAAAAAAAAAGAGAATCGATTTCAAAGACTGCTAGGAAAAAAAAAAAAAAAGACTGCTGGGAACTGGCTTGTTCTACTGAGGCCTCATTTGCGTAGATATGGGATTTCAGTATCTGTGCATTAGATTCTCTCTTTGCAAATCGCTGAAGGTATTTTACTTTTTAATTTTTTTCATAGTTCTTTCCCACTTCCTCTGTCCATTTCTGCAGAAAAGTTTTCCCCTTTTTTGTACTCTTAAGTCATACCTACTCTTGGCTAATTCTTCTGTTAAATTCTTGAAAAATGTAGCTCCTTAGTCCCCTTTGGGAAGTGGAGAATGTATTTGAGAGCAGAGCCTAACATTCCATTCCACTGATCTCTTGTGGGTTGCTGCTTTCTGCAAGGGTGGCACCAAAGAACTAATTGTAGGGAAGCAAGAATTGAAGATGTTACTGAGATAGCTTGCTCGGAAGGTACTTAGGCAGGTCACCCTAACCGAATACTATGGTTACACCGAAGTCTCGCTCTTCGGTTGTTACTTTGCCAACAGAGCCCGTATCCCCAGGTTTGTGCTTGCCTGAGCAGGTTTCATTTTGAGAAAAAGTAGATCCCCAGCTTACACCCATTCTTCTTGATTCAGGAGCTTGTTCTCTGTTGACAGGCAGACCACAGGGCGAACGTGTCTTCGTGGGTTTGGCCTTTTCTGCTCAGTGTAGGCTCGACCTGTCGTCCGCCTGTGGTCTTCAATGAGGTCAAAGCATCAGTGAGTCTGCCACTATCGTTCAGAAGCTGGCCAGTGCTGGGTTCTGTCTTCCTCTCTGCTTTTAATAGATCTTCTCTGTGTCCCTTTAAATGTAACAGTTGACACCGTGGTTGGTTTTACATCAAAATCTTCCAAATGTGTAACTTTAAAAATGGTTAGCTGGGTGTGGTGGCTGAGACCTGTAATCCGAGCACTTGGGAGGCTGAGGCAGGAGGATCATGACTTTGAGGCCAGCCTGGGCAATTTAACAAGATCCTGTCTGCCCCCCGCCCCCCGTACTGGGGATCGAACTCAGGACCCTGTGCTCGCAAGGCAGGCGCAGTGCCACTGAGCTACATCCCTGGCCCTAGCAAAATTCTATCTTGAGAAAAAAGTTGGCGTGTAGCTGTATCAGCATGTTTGTTAAACAGTTTTAGAAAAAGAAGAATTTTCATCTGCGTAAGAAAATACTGAAAACAGGAAAATACTTGTGTGGTGAATTTTATTTTCCAAGGGCATCAAGGCTTAGCATAATTTGTCTTTACTTGGGGACTGTGTATTTGGAGGGTCAGGACAATTTCTGAACAGCACACATCGTTGTTACACCGAGAGTCTGAAATGGGAAGACCAGACAGTTTCATGCTGTTATAAATAGCTCTGGTTTTTCTTTTGTTGGTTTTGGGTTTTTTGCGGTGCTGGGGATCATGTCTTGGGCTTCACATGTGCTAGGCAAGTGCTCTTCACTGAGCTGCATCTCCTGCCCAGAAAAACCTTTAGAGTTTTAATACTGTATGGAGGGGCCTGGGGATTTGGCTTAGTGGTGCTACCGCCGGCCTCAAGCACAAGGGCCTGAGTTCGATCCCCGGTACCAAAAATAAATACATAAAAACAAACAAAATTCTCTGCATGTGTAGGACTGTGAGAATCCCGGTAACCCTTCAGTCAGTGACAGTGCCATTTTTATCTGGTCGTCTGTTTTTTGGAATGAGTCCATACTTGCAGTACGTGGTGTTCGCATTCCTTGTGTGGAGTTGGTGCCTGAACCGAACACATCTCGATTCCCTTTCCATCCCCCGTCCTTCTCCTCTCTCTCCATCCCCGATCCCCTTCCCATCCACTTCCTATGAGCTCTCTTTTGTTTGCGCTTTGTTTATATTTTGGGTTTCTCTCCGCCATCTACTTCTACGTCTGCATGTGCGAAATGTGTTTGCAGTTATCCGAGGGTTCAGTGAACAAGGTAAAAGACCACATTCGAGAGCTTACACTGCGAAGGAGGAGGCAGCAATGCCTAAAAATTAATCCGTGATGAGAATTAGAGTGAGCTGGGCTTGGTGGTGCACACCTGTAATCCCAGCACTTGGGAGGCTGGAAACTTGGTGAGTTCGAGGCCAGCCCGAACTGCGAGACCCTATCTCAAAAAACAAAGCAAACAAAGAATTTCCTAGAGTGATAAATACTGTGAGAAACCAAGACGGTGACTTTTAGGGGTCGGGGATCGCACAGTGCTTGTGCTGGGGGTGTGGTTAAGAAGGACTTTAGGAATCACTGGCATCTGATCTGGGACGTGGATGACGGCAAAGAGACTGGCACGTGAAGGTCTTGGTGAAGAGGTCGTGAAGTAGAAGGAACGTCAAGTGAGGAGGCCATGAGATGCGGACACACTGTAGGGTTTGAGGGATGGAAAGGGATGGAAAGTTTGCTGTCTGGCTGGAATTTGGTGGAAGGTGAGGCAGTAGGATCCAAGTTTTTGTTTGTTTGTTTGGTTTTTTTGAGACAGGGTCTCACTATGTAGTTGAGACTGACCTGGAACTCACTATGTAGCCCAGGCTGGTCTCGATCACTCAGCGATCCTCCTGCCTCAGCCTCTTGAGTGCTGGGATGACAGGTGTGTGCCACCATGCCCGGCTTTTTGCTGAGGGTGGTCTTGAATTCATGGAGATCCTCCTGCTTCAGCTTGTCCCATCATGCCTGCCTTAGGGAGTATATTTTTATTCCGAAAGGCAGCGGAAGGCATTTGGAGGACCGAGCAGAGATGGATACAGTTTCAAAAAGCATTTTGTGGAAATCATAACTTGCTAGTGAGTGGAGACTGGACCATCGGGGAGACAGGTGAAGCGAGGAGCAGATTTCCAGTCTGGTAGGAGGTGGTGGCCTGGGCCCGTGTGGGGTCACTGTGGAGCCTGAGATTCTCAGTGGCTTTTGGAAGGGAGCAAGGAACTAGCCTGGCGGATGGATTTAATGTGAGGTGCGTGACCTGATCGGATTTTGAGATGGCGTTTCCATTAATCGATGTCAAGGAGATTTGGGTGGATCAGATTCTTGGGGAATATTAGTTGCTCTGTTGTGGTGCTGCTGTTTTAGTGGTGAAATGGAAGAGGCAGTTGGATGTGAGGTCTCAGTTCCCACTGGTGAAATTGAAACTATTGAGAGCTGATGGGATTTGTCTGAGATTATGTAACTGTGGAGTTCAGTTTCCCTGTAGATCTGAAGCCAGGTTTTGTCTCTGTCTCTGTCTCTTTCTCGCTCTTCATCTTGCTGTGTTGCCAGGCTGTCTGTGAATTCCTGGGCTCCAGCAGTCCTCCTGTCTCAGCCTCGTGAGTATCTGGGACCAGAGTCACACATCTCTGTGCCTGGCTGGAGCCCAGGTTCCCTGTTTCTTTATACTTCCTCACTCTAGTCTTCCACTTCTTCAAAGTTTCTTGTCCATTTTATATGGAAAGAATCTGGGCTCAGAGGCATCAGACTTCCATAAAATCGTAGCTTTGCTGCCTTCAAGCTGTGATCCTTTTGCTTCTCTGCTGCTCAGCTACTGGCTGAGAAAGTGTAACTTGAAGCTTGCGTACCTCTGTCTTCTAGGCCATGACAGGTGTACTTTGGCTTTCAGAGCACAACACGACTCCACGGGATGGTTACTGTGTTCTTATGCTGTAAGTAAACGCAGTCTTAGGAGCGGGTGGATTTATTGACGTTGTTGATGGTTGCAGGTGAGAGCACAGAGCCGGGATAAGCAGATAGAAGAAAGGATGCTGTCCCACAGGCAAGATGACAACAACAGGCATGCAACCAGGCACCAGGTACGGGCCTTGTGACGCTCCGGCTGCCCACATGTGGAGAGATCTGTGTCGTGGGTCTCCTTCGCCCATAACTGTCTTCAGAGGCCTCTTCAGACCTCTTGTTTCCCAGGGTGCTTCCAAATAACTGCTCTTCCAGGCATAAACTCAGAAGGATCATGTTTGTTTTCCACATAGCTTTCAGGAAGCCAACTCTCTAGCTCCTAAGTGGAGGCATCAGGCTGTGTACAGTAGTAATGGTAATAAAAGATGGTCCGATTCTTTGAAAAATTGCACTTGTCCCATGTCCTCGCCTTGTGTGCTCCTGCTAACTCTTTCGAGTTTGCCCGCTGACCCCGTTCCCCTTGTTGGCCCACGTCCAAGGTCACCAGGGACTTTTCTTCAGCGCTTGACACTTGTTGACCAGGTTGCTTCTCTCTTCTTGTGAGGTCCTGGCAGCACCTGGCTCTGACTGTCTCTCCGCCTCCTGAATATTCAGGCCGCCTTGGTTGTGCTCGAGCCTTCTTCCTTTCTAAGTGGCGTTAGTCTTCCTCTTGCTCTTTTCCTGCCCGGAACTCTGTACGTGCACCGAGCAGAAGAGGCTGTATTTCTCCTTCGAGGCCTTGGGCAGCCCTTAGCGGAAGCAGGGCTTCTTCCCCAGTCTTCTCCTGCCCGCTTCTCGCTGTCAGCCTGTTTACACATAGCTTATCGTCTGAGTGTCTGCAAGGCAGAGGAGAGGGATGAAGTAAGGAGACAGATCTGGATCTGAATTCTGGGATCTCTTACTGGCCCTGGGCTCACGTCCCTAAACTCTATTTCTTCATTAATAAAAAAGAGCGATGTATGGGGCGGGGTGGCCTGTAATCCCTGCACTCTGGGAGGCTGAGGTAGGAAAAGTGCACCTGGACAATTGAGCAAGACACTGTGAAAAACTGAAAGAAGAGCTGGGGATGTAGTTCAGTGCAAAGAACCTGGGTTCAGATCCCCAGTACTGCAAAGAAAGAAAAAAAAAAAACAGGAAAGAAAAATTCGTACCTGTTGGACGTGATGGCATGTGCCTGTAAAACCAGCACTTTGGAGGCTAAAGCAGGAAGACCGCTGCTGCGATTTGAGGCCAGCCTGCTACATAAGGAGTTCAAGGCCAGCCTGATTACAAAGCAAGACCCTGTCTCAAAAAATAAAAAGCTGGGTGTGATGCTGCATGCCTGTAATCCTAGCACTCAGGAGGCAGGAGGGTCACCAGGAGTTCAAGGATAGACCGAACTTCATAATGAGATCCTGTCTCACAAAACAAAAACAAACAAAAGCCTACCTGGGTAGGTAATGAGCTGCATTGTGTGTCAGCGCTGTCGTCCCCAGTGTGTGGCAGGTAAGCATTCGCCGGAAATGCTACTGCGCCGTTTCATTATCCACTTTAGGTTCTGTTCTTACTCAATCTCAGTGCTTTGGGGACCTGATTGGGAATTATAAAATCGCTGTATTAGTCACAATGTGACTGTCAAGTTCTGGCCTCCCCCCCCCTTTAAAAAATTTTTGCCAGGCATGGTGGTGCACACCTGTGATCCCAACACTTGGGAGGCTGAGGCAGGAGGATTACCGTGAGCTTGAGGCCGGCCTGGGCTACATAGTGAGTTCAAGGCCAGCCTGAACTCCACAGTGAGACTCTGTCTCAAAATACACCCCCCCATTTTTTTTTTTTTTTAATTTGGATACTTTTGAAGCCTGACTTCATAATGGATTTTCTGTGTAGTTTTCTCAGTTCTCTCCTTTTTTCCTTTTAGGCACCAACAGAGAGGCAGCTGCGGTACAAAGAAAAGGTGGCTGAACTTAGGAAGAAAAGAAACTCTGGACTGAGCAAAGAACAGAAAGAGAAATACATGGTGAGGAGAAGTTCAGTGCCTAATTAGCATGAACTTCTATTGTGTTTGCTTCTCTTGCTCTAAGCATCTTTCAGACTTGCCATTGGCTCTTTTCTCCCCATAGCTATCGAGTGAGTAGTAGGCTGGCCGGGGTTACAGAGCGTACCACACATCCAGCTTGAAACTTACATTTTTAAAACGTTGGCTGAGAGTGGTGGTACACCTCTGTAATTCCAGGGCTCGGGAGGCTGAGGCAGGAGGATCACTGTGAGTTCTAAGCCAGCCTGGACTATACGTAACATGACCCTGTCTCAGAAAAACAAAAACAAACAAACAAAAAAATTGAATTTTCTAGTTGTTTGAAAACTTTCCTATTTGTTTATTTATTTGAAGGTTCTGGGAATCAGACTAGGCCTTTGCACATGCTGGGTACTATACCACGATCCCATACCCCAGTCCCTTCCCTATAATTTTATTTTATTTATTTATGTATGTATGTATGTATGTATGTATGTATGTATTTATTTATTTATTTTTGAGACAGGGTCTTACTATGTAGTTGAGACTGACCTGGAACTCACTATATAGCCCAGGCTGGTCTCGAACTCACAGTGATCCTCCTGCCTCAGCCTCCCGAGTGCTGGGATTATAGGAGAGTGCCACCATGCCTGGCCTTCCCTATAATTTTAAAGTGTTAAATCTACCCACTAGAACAGCAGTGGTGAACCTATGATAGCAGGCTGTTTGCATCCCTGAAAGCTCTAAAACCTCTACCATCACTGCACTAGAACAGTACCATGACATTGGAAATGTTTATATAAAGAGCAGATGTTCAAACTTCCAGTAAACTGCGATTTAATGGAAAAATAGTTTCCTCCATGATAATAATGTTTTTGTTGGGTAGTATATATCATTTCGCTATTTTTTTTTTAACTGTGAAACTAATAAACATATATAAGAAACAATAAGGAACAAGCTTGGTGTTGTGGCGCACACCACCACAGGAGGATTGCAAGTTTAAGCCCAGCCTGGGCAATTTAGCCACTTAGCCCTGACCCTGTCTCAAAAAAGATCTGGGGTGCATGTAGCTCAGCGTGAAGGCCCTGGGTTCAATCCCCAGTACTGAGGGAAAAAAGAAAGAATTAAGAAAAGTATATAGAAGAAGAAAAGATGAATTGTACACAGCTTGCATCTTGGGACATTTCTTGGCTCTTTTCATAATTACACCCCTACTATATATACTCCTACACTTTGAATTCTTTTTACTGAAATGTTCTTTTAAGCTAATTTCCTCATTTCATTAAAAAAATCGTCAACTTCTTTTGCATAAAAGTAGATTCTTAGGTAAAGATTTATTTTACTGTAAATGTAGTAATACATAAATGCTTTCCTTTGAAGACCCTAAAAATAGCCGGGCATGATGGTACAGGCTTGTTATCTGAGCCCCTTGGAAGTCAGAGGCAGGAGGGTCTCTGGAGTGCACGAGTTTGAGACCAGCCTGCCCACAGTGTAGTGAGACCCTTGCAGAGAGACAGCCAGGGAAAAGCAAGAGAAATGTTTAGGTAGAGTCTCGCTATGTAGCTCAGGTGGGCTTTGAACTCACTCTGTAGCCCAGGCTGGCCTTGAATTGGAGGGGTCCTCCTGCCTCAGCCTCCTAAGTGCTGGGATTTTACGCGTGCGCCACCACATCTGGGTATATATTACTTTAGTCTTCTTCTGATGAGTATTTTAGTATTTTTTGAAGAACCAGAATGTTCTATTTAGTCATTTGAATAGAATTAAATGTATAAACTTTTTGAATAGCATGGTATTTACCAGTCCTCATTGTCTTTAAAATAACCCCGAATGAACAGATCAAGATCAGGCCAGGAGATGGGGTGTTGCGGAGGTGAATTTGCTGGACTAATCGCCTGTAGTACGAGACCGCTCTGGGTTTGTGCCCCAGGGAGGGCTACAGTAGCAGGCTGGAGGGTGGCAGCTCAGTGCAGCGTGCACATGTGCGAGTTGGATGGCGTTGCCATCATATGGTGATGCCATTTGTTGAGTGCTTGTGATGCTCCCTTAACAACATTCCACACATGCGACTGTCCCACTGCATCGGGTGGCCTGAACCACTTGTGGTAGAAGGGGGTGCAGTCATGCCTGGGACAGCGGTGTGTAGCACCGGTGATTTGAGCTGCCCGGCAGTGAGATGTGAATTAAGGTTCCGTCGTGAACGTGTTACTCCGTGAGCAGCTCTGTCTGATAGATGGTGTTTTACTATTTTATGTATGGGAAAACTGGGGTTTCGAAGACATAACTGAGCCAGGCCTGGTGGCGCAGGCCTGTAATCCCAGCTAGTGGGGAGGCTGAGGCAAGAGGATCACCGTGAGTTCAAGGCCAAGCTGGGCTACATAGTGAGACTGTGTCTCAAAAAACAAACAAACAAACAAACAAAAAGATCTTTTTTTTTGACATTCATGAAACTAGAAGAAATGAGTAATCCTTAAAACCTGTCTCATGTAGGTGACAGAGTCCATAGGTTGTGGAACCAGATTAGCAGGAAGCAGTTTTAATAGGGTGAAAGGTCCTGGGGAAAGGCTTCTTCAGATGCTAATGTGTGTGGGACCTCCGGGTTCTTCCCGGGCTGAGCCCTCCCTGCCACTTGACTCTGTGGCCTCTTCCCGGAGGAGGTGGAGCCAGGAGGCCAGAGCCCAGAGCCCAGAGCGAAGAAGGACTAGAGGCAGAGTTAAACCGCAAAGCTTCCTGGTCTGATTTCCTTCCAGGAAAAGGATACTTGCAGTGATAAGCATGGTAAGATATGAAAGTTAAAGTTAAGACTGGGTTATTTTTATGCTTTTGATTCTCTGAGTTTTCTTTTTTTAAGTGGTGTAATATTTAGTAAGACATTTTAAAAACGGTACAGGCTGTTTTTCTTGTGGACTTGATTTGGAATTTTGTTATGTTTTATTTTAATTTTCTTTTTTCTTTATGGTTTCTTGAGACAGGGTCTAGCTATGGAGACTAGGCCAGCCTTGAACTCACGTAGTTCAGGCAGGCCCCAAACTCCTGGCAATCCTCCTGCCTCAGCCTCCAGAGTGTTGGGTTTATAGGTGTGCGCTGTCACATCTGGCAATTAAAAAAATTTTTTTTATCTTTTTTTTTTTTCCTTTGGTTTGTTGTTTTTAAAATAATTTTATTGTGGTAAAATAGACAAAACAAAGTTTTACCACTTGAACCCTGTTTTTTTGAGGGGGGGGCGTCGTTTCGGTTTTTTTGTCTACCTCCTTACTGCAGATATCCCTGACTTAGGACAGTTTGACTTAGGAGTTTTGTGATTTTTGCTTTGGTTTGGTTTGGGGCACTGCTAGTGGTGGACTCCAGGGCCTCACAGCTGTGAGCTGTGAGCGCACAGCTGTGGACTCTGGCGTCAGCGCAGAAACTGGCCTTGGAAGCTACCTTTTCCCAGGCAGCCTCACGCCCTTGGTGGACAGGGAATCACACGAAAGGGTTGACACTGTAAGACCTAAAATCTCACTTCCACTCCACGGAGCGTGAACAGCCGAAAGGCCTCCACGATGCTGGGCCCTAACACCCAGCGAGGCTCCGGGAGCTCGACGGAGAACGAGAAACCCAGGAAGGAACACACCAGGCTAGATGGTAAAGAGACCTTTATTAGTCTGGCCAGACGGCACTGCCGGAGCCAGGTGGCTCAGAGAGGCACCTAGCTCAGGGGCCGAGGTCCTCTTATAGGGAGTAAAAGGAGGGGGGTTAACATTTTGGGCTCACAGACAGGGGACAAAGGTCTGCTGACTTGAGATGGTGGTCAGCAGTCACATGCTCAACAGTCACATATTGATGAGTAACAGGTACCACCTATAGGATGTCTCAAAGGTCACCAAGACACTCCGGATGAGCAAACAGTTTGTCAATTAACTTGGGGCTCTATGTCTGGAGTCTCTAATTTACAGGTAGATTCAGATCCGGACTTCAAACAATACAAGAGTGATCCACATTCTTAGGCCAGGGCTGGAACAAAGGTCGGGGCTGTGGCTACAATGGGAGGGGTTCAGGACACTGTCTCCTAGGCCCTTTGCCATTTAGCAAGGGTTTGTAATTTAGGTCCCACAGACACAGGACTGCTCTGTCCAGCTGCCGGTGGGCTTTTCCTTCCAGGCTAACCCCGGGGGTGTGGGGGTTGGAGCCTCTGATCAGAGTGTGGCCAGATCAGGACTGGCGATGCGTACTGCCCCTGGGCTTGCCGTAGCTCGTGTTCTGCAGTGTCGTGTAACATTTTCTCCTGGAGAAGCTGAGGCGTGGATTCTAGTGGTGCAGGTGGGCACTTAGAGATCAAAGACACCGCTTTCCGGAGCTGTCGGGGTGGGGGGCTCTGCAGGGTCATTAGGGTGGGTAGCAGGCATCCATCCGGCGGTGTCGGGCAGTACCTGTCATCTCCTGGTGAGGAGCTTAGGGTCGTGGTGGGCGTCCATGGAGATGAAGGAGCTGTGTTGTTAGGGGCAGAGTGTCACGCTCTGGGTACTTTCCTAGGAACACAGGCAGACCTATGGGAACACGCGGGAACCGCTCTTGGAAAACCTGACAAGCGAGTACGACTTGGATCTCTTCCGCAGGGCACAAGCCCGGGCCTCAGAGGATTTGGTGAGTATGAAAACCTCCGAGCCCAGGGCCCTTGCGGAAGGCATTTCCAGTGGCCAAGAAAAATGATTAGCAACCAGCTTGGTGGGAATTAAATGGCCCTGGCTGCCTCTATCTCCTGTCCTTCTTTGGAGATTGTCCTCCCCTGTTATCTCCCTTACTCGAATTCCTTGTCATTTTTCCTGCCCTTCCACCCCAACTAGAAGGAGTTCCAGTGGGCTCCATTGTCTGTGGGTGTCCTTTTGTCTCCTTGGGGTAATTTGCAAGTCTGAGGACCTGGGGACTGGCAGTTGTCTTTCTTCTTTGTCACTGTGATGACCCAGCGGGACCTCCACTGTTGCAGGGTTTCCTCGGTCTTTCCGTAGACCTTTGAACGGCCCAGGAAGTCTCTGTGGTAACCATAGTTCATCACCACTGCCCTAGAGCTTTCAAAGTAACAGCAAAGGCAAAAGGAGGAAGGCTGTTGTTAGTGTGTTTTTGGTACCGGGGATTGAACTCAGGTCCTGTACTTGCGAGGCAGGTGGTAGAACCACCGAGCTGAATCCCCGGCCCTATTGTATGTTTTTGATTGTTGATATTTGAGATGGCTTCCCGCGCCATGGAGCTTAAGTTGAACGGGCTGGCTTTGAACTCTTGGGCTCAGCAGTCTTCTTACAGCTGCTTACCACTCTGTCTGGCTACCGTTGTGAGTTAAGCTTTGACCATGACGAACCCAGGCGTGGTGCCACAGGCCTGTACACCCAGCACTTGGGAGGCTGAGGGAGGAGGATCACCGTGAGTTTGAGGCCATCCTGGGCTACCTAGTGAGACTGTCTTCAAAAAGCCAAACTTTGACAAGGACGAGTTTTACATGTCTTTCCTTTTCATTTACATTCAGTTCGTGCTCAGGTTTGAATTCTGTTGATTGGGTTTATCTCTGATTTAACAGGTGCAAATGTGTCCAGGAAAACTGTTCATAAAGTGAATCTCATCTGCAGCCCCTCTGATCTGCACCCCACTACCCCTCACACCTGTGTAAAACTCTCCAGTACTAGATCAGTTAGAAACTTGCCGGAGGCAGGACTTGTGGGTCGGTGCCTGCGGGCCGGCACCCCTGGGCCAGCACAGGCTGTCGCTGCTGCTGGTTTCCTCCCTGCTGCCTGCACTGCCCTCCACCTGGGTCCCCTTCCGAGCTGCTTCTGCGGGCAGCTCACTGCCACCCAAGGAGCTGGAGAACCAGACCTGTTTTCTTCTATTACATTGCCATTCACACTTGAAAAATATTATCGAAAGAGCCTACTGTTTATTTTTAGAAGTGGGTATTGTGGGTCTGTTACCGAGATTCACATGACTTTATAAGACTACTACAGGCGAGGAAGGCACGTTCTAAATAATCTTGTCTAAGAATTTTTGTAAGAGCAGAGTGCTTGTATTCAGATCCAGTTTGGTTTAGGCTGCTGAAGGGGAAGAAAGTGTGTATTCCGGACTCATTCTGATGGGGCCCCCCGCTGGTGGCAGTCGAGCCGCTTGTGAGCCCTGGGCTCTGGACGCTGTAGGTGGGGGTTCCCACCAGCCTGCCCCACCGTGCCCCTTTAGTGTGAGTTGCTCATGGGTGGAAGGCAAATCTGCCCCAAGTTCTTTCCTCACTTTACACAACTGTTTGTTTTTGTTTTTTTGGTACTGGGGATCGAACTTGGGACCTTGCACTTGCAAGGCAGGTGGTGGCGCCACTGAGCTACGTCCCCAGCTTTGCATCACTTCAGCATGGTGACCTGCACACAAGATCACTATTTTTTTTTTTTTAAGACAACAAATTCTAATCCTCCTTTGACTTTTGATTTCTCTTGGCAATAGGAGAAGTTACGGCTGCAAGGCCAAATTACAGAGGGGAGCAACATGATTAAAACAATTGCCTTTGGCCGCTATGAGCTGGATACTTGGTACCATTCTCCCTATCCTGAGGAGTATGCGCGGCTGGGACGTCTCTACATGTGTGAATTCTGCTTAAAATATATGAAGAGCCAAACGATACTCCGCCGGCACATGGTGAGTGGGCTTGGGTCCCCATGCCTGGACCGTGTGGCCACATTATGGCGTCTCCGGGTTTGGCCCTCAGCGGTCACAGCAATGGGCTGAGGCGCAGGGAAACGATGTCTGCGTTCAGGACCAAGGCTTCAGTCCTCAGACCGGGCAGTGCTGCATGGCAGCCAGAGCGCAGAAGGCCTTAACCACCGCCTGTCACGGGCCCCGCCCTGCCCTGTCTTCATTTCTTCCTTCCTCAGAATATGAATTACCTCTGCTCACGGGGTTTGCATGTCCCAGACGAGCCAGAAGTACAGGGCCCTTATTCGGCAGGGCAGGGACAGTGTGGCTTACCTTGGGGTGTTGAAGGACTACATTCGCTCTGACACTGAAATGAGCAGAGCGCACCCTCGGGTACCTCAGCTGTTCGGTCCTTTCTGGTTTTTTACTATACTTCTTCCTGTTAAGAAGGCTTGCCTCTCCAGGTTCGATCCCCGGTACCCCCTCAAAAGAGTAGAATTGAATCTGACTTTCTCATTGGCAAATGGGCTTGCTAGATTCTTTTCCACTTTCACCCATTTTTCTTTCCCTCATTGTGGAATAAAAAGCTTTGTCTTAAGAGGATTTCTGCTGTAAAGTGGGGGCGTGGGACATGCAAGGTGTGGAAACCCTCTTTAGACAGAAGCACTTTCGTTATTTTGATAGCAAGAGTTTTGGGGACCTTCCAGGGTTTCTGTGATGCCAACCGCTCACAGCCCAGGCTTCCTGTGGTTCCTGTCCGGCGTGCTCTGCTCCCCAGTTGGGTGGTGCTGCTTTTTTGCATTCCTGCCTCTGGAGCACAGGGTCTGTGGGTTTGTGGCCCAGGGCTGCTGCTTTCATTTAAGCCCTTGAAACTGGCACCCTCACCAGAGGGCAGCAGGGGCCTGGCCTGGGGGACACTGGAGCAGAGCAGCGGTGTGGGGACTGGATCTGGCACAGACTGGACTGCAGATGAGGAAAACTAACGGTATGGGCTCCTTACCACTCACATGTCTTTCTTTACTATTTAGTAACCCTAACCAGTGAAGGAGCCAACAGGGCAAGAAACTAGGTAAATTCAGACCGACTAAACAGTACACACTGTTCCATTCTATGCCTTTTCTGCTTCTCAGAGTTTCGGGTGTGATCACTGAGGTCCTCTGTCGTTGCCTTGGCTTCTGTTTCTAAACACGGGCCGGATCTGATCGTTTCCTTAGTTTAGTTATGGTCAGAAAGAGGAATGATGGGTGGAACTCACAGCGCCCCCCTTTAATAAATACTCGGGTTTATAGTTTCACAATTGGATTGTGATTCTTATTTTATCCCATTTTCCTTCTCCTCCCTGTATACAAAAGCTGTTTCCATTTTTTCCTTTTGTTTTCACCTTTTTTCTTAGCCCTTCCTTTCCCCCTCCCTCCTCCCTTGTTCCCCTTCCCATTTGAACACTTTCTTCCCATTTCCTAACATCCATTATGCAACTCACCCCTTAGGGATTGTGATTCTTGATTGATCCTCTCCCCCCAAAAAATCACAATAAAATTACTTAATTAAAAATGTGACACATATATAGAATTTTTAAAAACATTCTTGGGGAGGTACTGGGGATCAAACCCAAGACCTTTGTCCTGAGCTGCATCTTCAGCCCCCCACACAGACCTTTTTTTTTTGGTACCAGGGCTCAAACTCAGGACCTTGTGCTTGCGAGACCCAGCTCTTTTTTGTTATTTTTTATTTCAAGACAATCTTGCTAAGTGGCCTAGGCTGAGCTCAAACTTTCAGTCCTCCTGCCTCAACCTCCCAGATTGCTGGCATTGCCAGCAAGCACCACCATGACTATTTTTAAATATTTTGAAATGTATTTACTTAAAACTGCTCAAGAATTCATGTAATTACAGCAATGGGTGGCTGTGCTAAAAGTTTTGGCAAGACTAGGGGTGCAGCTGAGGGGTAGAGAGCTTGCCTAGTATGCATGAGGCCCTGGGTTTGATCCCAGCACCGCTAAAAGAAAGAAAAATCATACTGTACATGCGCTCTTGTGTGAGGAAGTGGAGGGGTGGGGGAACCTTGTGCCCCCTTGTGGCCATTTGCCTCCCAGCTGCCCGCTATCTGCCAGGCCACTTTGCTTTAGTTGGAAGCCTTGGGACTTTCCCTTGTACCCTTGTGTGACAGAGTCTGCATTTGCACACACAGGGACAGACAGTGGTTAATGGTATTTATTACTGTGGGTCCCTTTTCTAATCTGAAAAACAGCCTGGTAAAGGTGAGAGTAAAGTATACTACTTAGACCTCTAAGCCGCTGGAAATAAGCCGCTTAAGAATTTCCTGCTAGTGTGAGGCATTTTATAATACACCGAGGTGTTCTTATCTGTGTGCCTTTCCCAGAGTGGGTCATCATAATCTCCTCTCTGAGACGGGGCCAGAATGTAATCCAGAAAACTTGTTCCAAACTGCTATAAAAATGCCAAGTATACTGTCGTTTGTTTTCCTGGAAAAAGAAATCTGCTTTGCTGTATGTCTTCAAGTTAACCAAATCTGACCTGTGGTTCTTGTTCCTTTTGAAGCGCCTTTCCCGTAAGTGGGCTTCGGTACCCTGATGTGAGTTCTTTCCCTTGCAGGCCAAGTGTGTGTGGAAACACCCGCCTGGAGATGAGATATATCGCAAAGGCTCAATCTCGGTGTTCGAAGTAGATGGCAAGAAAAACAAAGTAAGATGTGGCAACCTAGGAAAGGGTGGTGGTGGCGGTGTTGAACGCACACAGGTTTCCAAGGGAGTGAGTTTCATCTTCACCCCACCTTGTAAAAGAAGACGGTTAGTCCCTGTATTTTGGCCATAGAAGCGTTCCTTCCATGTCATATATATAGTAATGTCACAGCCACCCTTTTAGGCTTTTGGCTGCTAGGTCTGGAACCCACTGGCCCACCTACAAACTCTTTCTCTGCTTCTAGATCTACTGCCAAAACCTGTGCCTGTTGGCCAAGCTTTTCCTGGACCACAAGACTTTGTATTATGATGTAGAACCTTTCCTGTTCTACGTCATGACAGAAGCGGACAACACTGGCTGTCACCTGATTGGGTATTTTTCCAAGGTCAGCGGGGATGAAGTTCCCATCTGGAGCAGGGCATGGGTGCATTTGGGGGCTCAAGTCTGTGCTGGAAAGAGGCCGTCCCCTGATAACAGCCAGCTCTTTAAGAAAAAAGGCAAACCCATGTGTCAAAGATAGTTTAATGAGCCTGGCGTGGTGGTGCACACCTATAATCCTAGCACTCGGGAGGCTGAGGCAGGAGGATCGCTGTGAGTTTGAGACCAGCCTGGGCTACGTAGTGAGTTCGGGTCAGTCTCAACTCCATAGTGAGAGCCTGTCTCAAAAAACAAACAAAAAAAAAAGTTTAATGAAAATGTTCGAGTCTTTATTAAAAGCTTCTGATGTATTCATTTCTGGACTTGTCGGCTGGAGCTGCCTATTACTGGCTCAGCTCTCCCTGCTAACCCTCAAGCTCTCATCTTGAAGTCAAGCCGACTTCCCAGCTTTGCCATCTATGTCTGTAGCTTAACACCAGGGATAAATGCCGACCACCTGGTTCTTGCGCTTGGCTTCTAGCACAGCCCCTTGAGCGTCAGTGCCTCTGTGGCCGATTTGCCATATGACTTTTTAGTGTAACAGTGGAGTTGAGATAAAATCCATATACCGTACAACTCACTGGCTCCAAGTAGTGCAGCTCGGTGGTTTTAGTATATTCACAGAGTCAGAGTCAGATGACCACGGTGCAGTTGTCAGTTTTTATCATCTTGAGAAGAAATGCTGTACTCAGGAACAGTGAGACCCCGTTTTCACTCACTCCTCCTCGTCTTTCTGTCTCTATAACTTTTCCTGTTGTGGACATTTCTTATAAATGAAATCATAGAATATGTGATTTGGTCATTTTTTGATTCCCTTCCAGAAATGAAGACTTATATTTTATTTCCTTTCTCTTCTGGTACACTGTCTCCTTTTGAAATTTTGCTTTTAAATTTGCTTCTGTGTAGAATGACTCAGTAGTAGTCTTGACCTTGCTTTGCTCTGCGGCTGTCTAGAAGCCAGAGCTGCCCCTTCAAATGAGACTGGAAGTCTCAGAGCTAGAGAAACCCCGGATTCAAGGCTTCGGCCATCAGAAAGGGTGTGGCGACCAGCTAGGAGTCGGACAGCCTCTCCCTAGGACTGGTTAGTGAGAGTTTTTGCAGGAAGCCTTATTGGGTGTCTGCGGGGAATGCTGAAACCTTTAGCCCCAAATCCTCATTACCTGATCTATTCCCTCTTGATTTTAGGAAAAAAATTCATTCCTCAACTACAACGTATCCTGTATCCTTACCATGCCTCAGTACATGAGACAGGGCTACGGCAAGATGCTGATTGATTTCAGTAAGTGAAAGTGCTAGCCCATCAGCTCCACAGGGCAGGCGGGCGGGCGGGCGGCCCCTGAATGCTGTTTGTCATCTATAGTCCTGACACGCGTGTAGCAAATGAACAAGGAGGTGGGGAAAACCTGGACTTGGTCTGTCTGCCTGATTCACATTGAACACTGAGAATGAGTCCAGGAGCCAGAGCTAATTAGTGGGGATGTAGAGCAATACAGTCAGCTTTGTGGGGTCATCCCAGGTTGAGACTTTGAGACAGCACAGACATATGTAAGGCCTCACATGTGGGCCTTTGATATGTGGGATTTTACTGACTTGAAGGATTTGTCTAGAGGAAGCCCAGGTCCCTGATACAGGCTTTGAGCATTGGACACGGCCATCATTCGTTGTGGACTCTTTGTGAGTTTGTCCACTCACAAAATTGAACTCCTTACCCCGAGTCAGTCTCAGTGCTTTTGTGATTGCTCACAGCCAAGCACAGAGCAGGACAGACTGAGTCCCTGAGTCCCTGAGTCCCTGGAGCATATATTTGAGCAGCCTTCTAATAGGTGTCCTGATTGGGCTCTTCTGCTGTGAACAAGTGTTTGTGGTTTGTCGGAGTTCCATTGTTGTGCTCTTTGTTGGTGATTTCTAGGGGCCCCTTGGCGTGTTTCCCAGCCAGGAGGACTGATGTACTTGCAGTGGTGAGAAGAGCTGCAGGCTGCAGTTACTGTGCTTGGGCCCTGAACACAACACCTCTGATCACCAGTGGGGCCCGTTCCATAAACACATTTCTTTTGCCGGTTCCGTGGTGCACGCCTGTAGTCCCAGCATTTGGGTCTGAAGCAGGTGGATCATTGCAAGTTTGAGGCCATCCTGGGCCCGTAGTAAGACCCTGTCTCAGTCAGTCAGTCTATCAATCAAGTTCAGAGATTTAAAATACAGAAAAAGCTTTGAAATGAAATGTCTGTTTGTTATTTGAGACAGCGTTTCGCTGCATAGTTCAGGCTGGCCTTGAACTCACTGTGTAGTTCAGGCTTGCCTCAAACTGGGGACAATCCCCCTGCCTCAGCCTCCCTAGTGCTGGGACTCGTAGGCATGTGCCACCACACCCGGCTATTTTTGACCTCTGGCTCCAGGGGTGTTTTTAGTGCCTGATATAAGTAATGCAATCACATGCTCTCCCCTTGGATTCATACAAAGGTAGCATGTTCAGCGTGGCCACACCACACATCCCATTGAATGGCTGGACCCCAACGGGTACAGTAGAATGGATTGTCCTTAATTAAGCCTTCTGCCTTTGCATTCTGATCTTTGCTATTAGGATGAGCTATCGTGTTGTTAGAAAAAGTCTGTGTCTGTTCCTGGTAGGTTACTTACTGTCCAAAGTGGAGGAAAAAGTCGGCTCCCCAGAACGGCCGCTCTCAGATCTGGGGCTCATAAGCTATCGCAGTTACTGGAAAGAAGTGCTGCTCCGCTACCTGCATAATTTCCAAGGCAAAGAGATTTCTATCAAAGGTTGGTTTTTAACTGCTTGGAATGTTCAATTATCCACTCCATACCCTGGCTTTCCCACCTGGCCCTGTAAAGACAGCACCTCACTGTTTCCTGTGGCTGGGAGGGGACGACCACCGAACAGCAGTTAGGAATCACTTCCTCATTTCTGGAGTTGCCAGCACTCTAATTCTTACCAAGGTCAAGAAGGAAAATCTCAAGTATTTTGACACACGTGGGAGCCCTAAGGAAGATGTCCCTGCCTTTTCACGCAAATGCTGAGGTATGAGGGGCCTAGAGTAGCCTCTTGGTGAAATACCCAGCAAGTATTTCAAGTAGTTTCTTGGACTGGGCAGACTCATGCTTTGTGCCTATTTTCTTTTTTTTCTTTTTTGGCACTGGGGATTGAACTCTGGTCCTTGTGCTTGCGAGGCAGGTGGTGGCACCACTGAGCTAAATCCCAGCCCCTGTGCCCATTTTCTGAACAGATTGAGTACCAAAGTTTAGCCCTTTGGATTCCCCCCCTAGAGAAAGGACCATCGGGAAGAGGTGGGGTCTGCAGCCTGGCTAGGTTCTCAGGAGCTCTTCTGTTTCAGAAATCAGCCAGGAGACAGCTGTGAACCCCGTGGACATTGTCAGCACTCTGCAAGCCCTTCAGATGCTCAAGTATTGGAAAGGAAAGCACCTGGTTTTAAAGAGGCAGGTGAGGCTTTCAGCAGCTGCTTGCTTATTGCCCGGTGCTCCTTGACACGGGGCAGAGCCCCTGGGCCTGGCCACTGACGGGAACGTCCCTCAGAGGGTTCCAGTATAAGCACCTTCCACTGGCCTCGTTTCTTGAGCTGGCAGTGAGGCTCACATTGGCTTTCATCTTAAGCTTTCCCCTCCCTTGTTTTTGTTTTGACACAGGGCCTTGCTATGTAATAGCCCAGGCTGACCCCAAACTTTTGGTGATCCTCCTGCCTCCGTTTCCTGAGGGCTGAGATTACAGGGACGTGCCACCACCCCTGGCCCCCTGCCTTGTCCTTGTCAGGAGCTTTTGGTAGGCCCCTGTCTTAGATTTGGATGACACAAGCAGCTTTATGTTGCACAGCACTTCTATCATTTGATGTTTTTCCTAGATGAGGAAAAGTGGCCTTAGATTATTTCCCAAACACCCTCTCAGTTTAAGCTCACTTTTTTACATTTTTTTAGTTGATGCCTACTTGTAATAAACTAGATGGATTTTTACTTCTTATTGCAGGCAAGGTAGGGAGAAATGGATTAGGTAGGAAAGAAGCTCAAGAGATCAAAAGACAATATTTTCCATGTTGTGGTGCACACACCTGTAATCTCAGGACTCACAAGGCTGAGGCAGGAGGATTGTTGTGAGTTGGAGGCCAGCCTGGGTTACACAGTGAGCTCTATGCCAGTCTGGACTACATAGCAAGGCCCTGTCACAAACAAAGATAGTATTTTCTGTACCTAAAGATATTTTAACCTCTCGGTGATTCATTCCTGCTTGGCCAGTAATCGTTTTGGAATCTGCGTGTGTCCTGGAAAGCACCTAATAATGCTTCTCCTTGTTCTTCGCAGGACCTGATTGATGAGTGGATAGCCAAAGAGGCCAAACGGTCCAACTCCAATAAAACCATGGATCCAAGCTGCTTAAAATGGACCCCTCCCAAGGGCACTTAAAGTGGCCTGTCATTCTGAGCCAGCGAACCCCAGCAGTAGGAATCCATCCCCTAGGGATCTGTCTGTCATTTCTGTTGCTCTCGTGATTGGCAAGTGCAGTACCCTTTGGGAAGGCCACGCCCCTCGGGACTGTCCTGGCTCCGCCCTCGTGTACACTGCAGACGCTGGTTCTGAGGAACTGTTGTTTCGGCCTCAGTGAGGTTGCCTGGATGGGACCCGCACCAGCCTGGGGTGCGGCTCCCTCATAGCACTGACCCAAGGAGTTCTGTTCCAGTACTGTACCTGTCCAGTCACTGGTTCCACCTCGTGTCCTCTGCCCCATGAGGTGTGTCGTGTCCTCTGAGCTTCGTTCTAGTGCTTCTCGCCACCTGGTCCCCAGACCTCCAGTACGGTTACTCCTCCCAGTCGTGTTTGGGGAGCGGCAGGGAAGGGGCAGCACCTGGGACCCTGTGCGCGCGGGAGAGGGGCCGGCTGTGCACCTCGGATTGCACCTCGCTTTCCCTTCTATGCCTCCCCTTCTGTCTGTATCGGGCTGAGCAAAGCCAAGGACTTGGGAAGATCTTCCCGGGTGGTAGTCTCGGTCACAGCGAATAATCCATCTGGATCAGATGATGGCAACAGGAATAGGCTGTGATTCCGTGCTGATCTGTGCTCACCTGTGGGCAGTGGGCAGTCTCGGTGGAAGAGAATGGGTGCTTTTCGCCTCACCAAAAATCGCCCAGCAGTGAACGTGCCCTTTTTGCCCCCAGGCCCACTTTTACTTTTGCAGGTACCAAAATAATTTCCAGTTCTCTTGATCATGCTACATGGCGACTGGTTAGCTCTGCTGCACGACCCTCCTCCGCTTTCACATCAGTCGCTCTGAGTTTGGCCCCAGCCTCTGGGAGAAGTTGAGAGTGACCGGAAATGATTTCTGCAACTCAGCCCGTGATGACTCAGCGAGGCAGTGTGGCCGAGGTTTGCTTCTCCAGCAGCATCACCCCCTCCTGTAGGACTGAAGTGCTTCTGCCCCTGCAGAGCTCCTCCTCCTCTTTTCTTTTTGGGATGTGCCACCATCCCCTCTCCTCTGGTCTCCTATTTTCGGTGTTGTCCGAGCGCAGGAAGAGATGTTCCCTCCGATCTCCCCCACGCCCGTTATAACCCGCTATCCTGGGGCAGCCTTCGATGTCTGACGCATCGCCCTTCCCAGCTCATGCTCCTGCGACACCGCTGTCATCACGTGGCGCCCTCCCCACCACCCCGACTCTGGTCATTGTGCCTTTCTCGTGTCATCCCTGTACACTGCTGTTCACTGTGGGTTGCGGGGGGCTGGTTTGAAGCATGTTCTGTGGCGGCTCCCTCCAGTGTCACTGCTCAGATTTACCCAAAAGCAACTTCACTGGGGCTTTTCTCAAGGGTGAAGGCCTTTTACAGACCCACGTCCTTCCCCGTGTGTGGTAGAATGTGCTCTTCTGTATCTACTCAATAAAGCATGTTCTCTGCTCACAGCTGCTCCCTGGGCTCTCGTCTGTGGCAGGGCTTCGTCACCACACTGGAGACTCCCTTGTTCCCTCTGGCAGGAAACCATTGAGAGGCAGCTGGCGGCTCAGGGACGCAGCCGTCCTAGAGAGAGCGCTTCCTCCGAACTCGTGTGGCTGGGGGACGCTTCCCCTCTGCCTCCTGTGCTGCCAGCTCACAGGTGTGAGCAAGAGCAGCGCATGAGTCAGTCTCACTGAGGTCATTTCCCTGTGCTGGGGGAGAGGATCCAGCAGGAAGTTGCGAGGCGGGGCACAGTGGGAGGCGGCCAGAGATGCTGCCCTCCCTCACCCAGCGCGTTTACCAGCAGTGAGCTTGGTCAGCTAATCCTTGTCCCTCTCTCAGGTTACGTCTCTGAAAGTCTTCATAAATGTCCTGTGGCGTTCATCCAGTTCGGGGAGGAAAGCTGGGCACTCTCTTTACTCTGGTGGGAAGGAAGAGGAGGTGGGAATTGTGTTTGCTGGCATGGTTTTTTCTCGTTGCAGCTGGGAGTGCTGAGAACCCACCCCCGTGGGCAGACTAGGATCCTCTAGAGCCGGGGGAGGTGAAACGTACTCGAACGTGCAGCTGCTGAGAGGCTGAGTCAGGAGGATTTCCAGTCTGAAGCCAGCCAGGGCAACATAGCAAGACAAAAAATTCTATGTGCCTCTTACTGAGGGGTAGCGTGGTGAGACGGAGGGAAACTTAGGGTTGTAGAAGGACCCTTGTACTCATCTTTTCTTAGACTGTGTACCCCCAACTCTCCCTATTGTAATTATTTGTGGCAAAGACCAATTCTGCTCTTCCCACTTTGAAAAAATTGAAGTAGGTAATAGAGCCCACGAGCATGGAACCCTGGGAGGAACAGGTGTTGGGTTTTGTGCGCAGACTGTCCTCAAACCTCTAGGCTGGCTGCTGCCCTGAACATTAATGAAGATGTCCGGCATGGACCCCTGCAGGTATGGGAAGGGTGTCCGCTTCCCTTGGCCGCCTGGAGTGAGGCTGTCTCCCCGTGACACTTCTCCTAAACATCTCTGCATCGGAGAAGCTGCTCAGGCTCTTTCCTGAGAAGGGCAAAGATCTGCGCTTGTTCAAGGGTGTGGTTCCCAGACTCCATCTGGAGGTGTCTGCTCCCTCTCCAGTGGGAGAGGTCGTGCTCCCTAAATCATGGATTCCTCTCCCTTCTAGAGAGTCCTTGCTCGGGCTTCCATTGCAGCGATGTGGATGAAGCTGGTGGAATCTCCCAGAAAAGAAGTTGGTTTTAGTTGACCTTAGCGGCAACAAGTTGGGGCCAGAGGGTGAAAGCAGATGTGCCTCACTCTGGTCCTGCTTCCCCTTCAGGAACAAACTGGCCCTTTGCCTACCCAGCTCTCTTCAGTTCTCATAACGCTGTAAGTAGAGATTGGATCCCTTCTTTTCAGATGAGAAGGTTCGAGGCTCACAGAGCTCCCACCGCTGACTTCTCCAGGTCCCATATTGGGACAACGCTATCATGAGCTCTGGTCCCGATGCTGCCGCCACCGTCCCATTTCTCACCCAGGGAGAGTGAGTCACGGTGCTTCTTAGGGACACAGTGTACCCTGTAGAGGGTGGGCAGGGTGCTTGGACGTGGCCTTGGCTTTACTGGTCCCCGCAGCTCTGACAGGTTGCAGGGCTGGGGTTGGGGGTGACCTGGAGTAGAGCTGTCCATGTCAGGCCAGTTGGTCCAGATCAAGGTTGGGGCCACGTGGTGTTCGAAGCCGGGATGCAGGAATCGACCACAGCTCGCTCACAGCCCACGCTCCTCCCGCATCACGGAGCCAAGGAAGTTGGCTCTTTGGGTGTGCATTAGTGACTTCTCAAGGGTAGTCCTAGGTCTCCCTGCCTAGTCCTAGAGGAGCAGTTGCGTTCCTGGCATTAAAACAGCAGGGTTTTCATGAGGGTGGAGCAGCAGCATTGGTCTTTACCTGCTTTGTTTGCTTCTGACCTTTGGGAATCTGATCAAAGCACTGGATTTTTTTAAAAAATGCCCCTATGCAAATAGCACATTTGCAGTTCAGGAAACTATGCCTTTGAAGTCATTCCTGGACAGGAGGTTAAGCAGCTCTGGTTTGAAAAGCCCCAGGAATGCTTTCCACCTGCCTTGCTCTTCCCCCGAGGCCCTAAGCTTGATCTTTAGTGTGCCTGGGCTTGAGTACCTGGTCCTGCTACCTGCGGTGAGGTACAAGGACAAGCCTGGCTTGGTATTAGCTTCCTTCCTCCCGGTGGGCCGCACCAGGACACAAGGACAAAATGGACAGGTCTGTGTGCCACGAGTATGGACTGCGACAACCCCTTCTGCTAAATAATAGTCTGTGATGTGTGCTGGGAATTTTAGAAACGACCTTTGCTGTTCGTTGGGATCATGGAATTCTAGAGTTGGACCTCAACTCATTTTTCTCCAGCACTTTGGCTGCAAACGTGGATGGCTGCCCCTTGCAGACCGTTTCCTGCTGATGGGGGCAGCCCAATTGCTCCCTTCCCTTGTGGTGTCTTCAACCAAGCCAGCAAATGTCACTAAGAAGGAAACAGGATTGCCCAGTGGTGAAAATGCCTCAAAGCCAGGACGTCGCTCTGTCTCTTCCCTCTTGGGCAATACCATTACATACAGGCCATGCTGCCACCATCTGGGGGCTGGGGGTTTGTTTATTTGTGCCCAAGAGTGGAGAAAATAACCCATGCTGTTGTTCAACTTTGGCCCACGGCTCCACCCAAGTGTTCCCTGTGACACCTTTACCCTCGACAAGTCACGTTCATTCCAAGAAGCCAGTCTTTGTGCTTGTTTCCGAGAACAGCACCCCCACTTATTCCAAAGTGATCAGAAAAATCTCTTCCTAGGTATCTCCAAAGCCAACAGTTGCTCCACGCCTGCATGGGTGAGCTGCTCCTTCCAATAACTGGTCTGCTTTTCCTCCTCTCGAGCGCGGGCTGGGCTGGCTCCTGACACGTCTTGACCAACGAACGCTGTGGAAGTGATATTCTAGTAGCTTCTGCGTTTTGCTGTTCAGCTGATGTGTTTCTGAACTGGGAGCTTGAGGTAGACTGCTGGGAGAGGAGGAAGCCTGTGACACCACGGTGGGTGAGCTGAGGTGCTCCAGCTAAAACCTCCTGGAGGTGGCCATCCCAGAACACAGCCTTGCGAGCGCCCCCTACTGGTGCCACCGGAAGCTAACAAAATATCCAGCTGAGACCCAGCGATCTATGAAATCGGGAGGTATACAGCTCTAAGTCATGCTTTGGAGTGATTCCATAGACAGCACCGAAACCAGACGGCTAGGGTTGGGGTTGGCCCTCTTGTCACCATCAGCTGACGGCCTGTGATTGGAAGGTATGCGCCGAGGAGAACGCCCACCTTGAGCCAACCTCATGTACGTAACACTCGGAGTCCGTCCAGCCCCAGGTTGGCCACTCAGCATTATCACCGTCGGTCAGATTCCTCTGAGGCCTCTGGTTGACCTTAAGTCTTAGCCACCTCCCTAAGTGGGTCAGGAAGAGTGAAGATGGACCTGTCGCTTCCTTGCTCAAGAATGTATTTGGCTCGTTGGCTTGCTTCGTGTTTATCCTGGCTTCCAAGCCTTTCCGTAAGCTGACTCGACCCACATAGCTTCTGTCATCCCTCACACATTGCCTCCGCCTGCTGTCAGATCGGCCCACTCGTCCCCTGTCTTTACTGGGAAAGCCTCTATGCCAGCAGTCCCCAAATGTGTTCCATTAAATACCAAAGTATGAGCAGAAGGGTACTGTGGTCGAATAAATTTGGAAAACCCCAAGTGAAATATTGGTATGTTTCTTGACTTATGGAGGCTTCTCCAAACCTTCAGGATGCCGATGGGCATTGGGGGTTTTCCAAGAGGAAGAGAGGGTGTAACAGTTCCTAAAATGATTTCATCAGGAAGGAGCCTCTTGGGCTGGTACGTGGGGGCTCAGGCTTTGGGAAATGGGCGCAGCTAAAAAGCAGTTCCTTTGGGCCCATCCTGTAATAAATAGCACCCGAGACTAGGCAGTGTGGAGGCTGGGGATATGTGGTGTAAAACCATCTCGGCTCAGTGCCTGGCCCTCGTTTGCTCTGTAATTTCAGGTGTGTGGTTCACTGTCACCCGCAGAATGCTTGACATAGATTCAGTCAGTAAATGTGGGTGCCACCGCAGCGGCCCAGAGTATGCTATGTACTGGTACACAAATGACTGCCAATCTCCTGGAGAAAACAGAAGCTAAGTGTATTTTATTTCTAATAGGATCGATAAAGGAGAGGGACAATGTATTGTCAAAGCATGGCAGAAGGGAATTAGTCAAGCTTGGGAACTAGGCCGCTGAATCTTAAAGGGGCCTTTGTTCTGGGAGCTGAGCATTCTGGGAGGAGCAGAGATCAGGGCTGTGTCGGGACCCCAGGCAGCGGGAGTGTGGTGTCTGAGTCAAGACGCTGGTGGTGAGCGTCACTGTTCAGGGAGAGACCAGAGAGCACAAGGCCTTGAGCCGAGGACAGTGTTCCTCATCTCAGCCAGAAGGGCTGAACGTGATCTGGTTTCCCGTTTTGAAAGGTCAGAGAGGAGGAAGAACAGGGCGGGTGGCTGGTAGTAAAATGGACAGAGGAGGCCTGTCGAGAGGCCACTGTGCGCTAGCAATGGGTAGAGGTGGCTCCCGTTAGCAGTGAGAGGGTGGCAAAGGTGGATGAGTTTGAGGTAGATTCGGGGAGATCAGCCAGGGGAGGTATGGGTGAGGAGTGGGTACCTCCTTGGCAGCTGACTATATCAGGTGCCATTCAGGGAGACGCAGACCAAATGCCAGAGTTGGGACATGCTGAGTCTGAGAACAGACCGTGTCAACTAGGAAGCCGCTATCACTTCCCTAAGTCAGTGTCTCTCCCGACCCCCCCCCCCCCCCCCCCCCCGTGCTGGGGATTGAGCCCTGGGCTTTGTGCAAGCAAAGCAAGTTCTCTGCCACTTAACTGTCCCCTAGGCTCAAACCCCGGGCATTTGCACTGAGCAACATCTCCAGCCCTTTTTAATTTTTACTTTGAGGCAGGGTCTCAAGGCGACGAGTTACCCAGCCTGGGTTTGACCTAGTGATCCTCTTGCCTCAGCTTCTCAGCTCCAACTCTTTTTGGACACAGGATCTTGCTAAATTGCTAAGGCTGGATTTGAACTCATGATCTGGCTATATCAGACTCCCAAATAGTTGGAATTATTACAGCCATGCGCCACTGTGCTTGGCTTTCCTCTCCATCTATTTATTTAGTTAGTTTTGACTTTTTGAGACAAGATCTCACTATGCAGTTCAAGCTGGCCTTGAACTCGTGGCAGTCCTCCTGGTCCTGCCTCCTGAGTTCTGGATTATGGGCATGTGCCACCACTCCTGGCTTTCTTTTCCTTTTAAAACACATCCTACCATGACCTCCATTCCCTGTGCCTTAGCACAATCAAATGCCTAGGCCAAGTATGGTAGCACAGCATAAGAAATTTAGCAGTGTAGCAATTTAGGGAGACCCTGTCTCCCAAAACAAGAGATGGGAATGTAGCTCAGTTTGAGGCAAGGGCCTTGGGTTCAATCCCCAGTAACAGGAAGTTAAAAAAAAAAATTACATGCCCAGAAAAACTAACCCATTTTCTCATTGGAGAGGGGGGCACAGAGAAGCTACGCATTTTGTAGTCTAGTGAATAAATACATCTTGTTTACTGCTGAACCCCACATCCGGCTCAGCTGAGGTCCAGCCCCTCTCATAGGTTTCCCCTAGGGCTTCATTTTGGGCTGTGGCCTTTCCAAGCATCCTGGAGTCCTTTGTGTCCTCCCTGCCTCTAAACCAGCACAGGGACAAGGGCCTGTCCCCCAGAGGCTGATGGGAGGTGGGAGTTGTTCTATTCCTCAGAAGCCCTTTGCAGGGGGCCACACCTGAAAGCCAAGCAGGAGTTGCGGGGTCACCTTGCACAGGAGAGCTGGCGAAAGACCTGGGACCCAGTTCCCCTCCACAGGAGACATGAGCGGGGAACACTGTCTTCTTTCAGGCTGGGCTTTGGGGCTTCCGCTCTGCCCCATGCTTCCCAACTCCGCCTGTGTCCCAAGCTTTTCTCCCCACCTGAGAACAGTCCCTGGGCTGTGTAGTCTTTGCAGTTCTGGAAAAGCCCTCCTGGCCTGCCGGCCTCCTGCCCTCTGCCCGCATCACACAGGAAGCCACTCACTGGCCATTCATTTATTGGGCCCCGACTGTGTGCCAGGTGTGGGGTACAGAGTTTGAGCTGGTCCCCATAATGCTGCCATGGAAGAGGGCGGGGTCCCTCCAGCCCTTGAGGGTGACACAGCACATCCGTACACCGCCACTGCTCGACAGTGAGAGTGAGTCCTAGAAGAAACTCACTGAGTTCACTGTGGGCCTGGCTTGAAATGCCAGGGTCAAGGATAGAAGACAGAGGGTAGAGTCAGCCTGCTGCCTGGTCCACTGTGACACCCGGAAGAGAAGAGGGGCAGGCATCCTCAGGGAAGCATCCTGTGGGGCCTGTCACTCTGAACGTGGGTCCTCATCCTCTGTGCCTGGGGAGGGCTCTGTAGGAGGCTGGTGGTTAGGGGAGTCCTCTGACTCCTTCACCCCATCATTTCCCACTCAGGTTCCGCCTGTCTGGATATCTGGGGCAGTGAATCTCGGGTTCCCCTGCATATCTTCATTATCCCATCATAAATGACACAGACCAGAGATGGAGCTGACCCCAGTTTTCCTCTCTGAAGTGGAGAATTGACATTCCTAAGTCCCCATGGGGACATGGGAGGTACCATGGACCAGGACAATGGAGACACATAGAGTGACTTCAGAGGGTCACTCATTTCTATGTGGTAGTGGGGAGGCCTCCAGGACCCTCCAAGTGGATTGGCTCACTTTGAGAAAGTCGTGGGCAGTGTGCGGGGTGGCTGAGGCGTGGGGTGGGGGTGCAGCTTCAGGCCTATGGGGCGTCAGAGGCCCCTCCTTGTGCCCCGGCTGCCCTCACCACAGGCCTCCACCTGATAGCTTATGGGGGTCTTCTCTGCCCGCTTTCCCACGATGCCCTTGCCGCCTGCCGGAGGCCCTGGCCTACCTTCTGTGGAGATTCCTCCCCTGCCCAGGAGGCCTTGGACCGCTCGTCCCCGTTGATGCCCTGGCAAGGGACAGAGGAGAGGTGGAGGGAGGAGCAGAGGGAGAGGCAGGGCCAGGCGCATGCCGGCTGGACTTCACAAAATGCAGTCGCTGCTCAACCATCCTGGGCTGGGTGTTTACTCATCGACCCTCCCTCCTCTCTGCCTCCCTCTGCTGCTCCTTTCCTTAAATCTCGTGTTTGAGGGGGTTGGGTATGATGCCCCCCGAGAGCATGTGGGGCATGGAAATTTGGCTCTGCTCTAGGGTTTTAGGCAGGGCCACAGCTACTCGGCTTGGTACTTTCCAGATCTCCGCCACGTGCAGGGGGCTGAGCGCCAAGCACTCTTATCTTCGGTAGTGGACTCATTTTCCCAACTCCAGGCTTCAGACTCAAGGTCATTTTGAACCTTTAACAGCACTAGACTCAGCCCCGTCTCCTCCCCGCCCGCAAGCCCGCCCCAGGCTTGTGCAGACCACCTTCTAGGAAACAACCCCAAAGCCCAGCAGGGGAGTGGCCAAGCCACACTAGGCCCGCCCTCGGTTTAGTATGCCAGGCTGGCATCGCCCGGTATGGCCAACCTCCTCCTCCTCCCCAGGGAGCGTGCAGGGGTAGCAACGCCTACCTGCTGGCTCTGGCTGGATGCGAGGTACACCTGCGGGGAGGAGAGGGAAACGGGCTGAGCACTTCCGGGGCCTTGGTGAAGTGAGGTCTTCCCTGAGCTGCAGCCAGGCTCTGCTGTCCTCAGGTGACATGGGGGTGTGCTTGGCAGGAGACAGCATGGAGCATGGGTGCAAAGACTACACCATTGATGCCTGGCTCAGGCTGGGCCAGCGTCCCATTACCTGAGGAGCTTTAGTCCCTGCTGAAGCTGGTGACTATGGGACCCTGGGCACGAGTGCTTCAGGACTCAGGAAATCGCTCTCCTCTGCTCCCACCCCTGCTCCTCGGGACTGTTGGATTTGGAAGGGATCTCTAAAGTGGCCCAGGCTCAAGCTCATTTTGTAGTGGAGGAAACCAAGGCCAAAAGCGTTTGGTCGCACGTTGGTTTTCTCTATTTTTCTATGCATTTTCTTATTACAAGGCGGTCCTTGAATCCATGCCCACTATTGAAAAAAAATCAAGCAATGTAAAGATTTGGACAGTCAAAATTAAAGTCCCTTTTCACTCTCTCCCCTCAGCCCCACTTCCTGTCCTAGATAGAATCAGTGTTTACAGTTTGCTGCTTATTCTCCTGGAACTTTCCCCCTGCATTTGCATTATGTGGTGTGTTATGTAATTTTTAAAAAGCAAGTAGGCTCCTATGATGCACACTGTTCTGTAACTTACTCAATTTAACTAAATGCCTTGTTTTTGTTTGTTTTTATTTTTTGAGACAGGGTCTCACTATGTAATTCAGTCTGGCCTTGAACTCACTATGTAGCCCAGGCTGGCCTCCAACTCATGAGGATCTCCCTGCCTCAACCTCCCGAGTGGTAGGATTACAGACGTGCACCGCTAGGTCCAGCAGCCGTATATATCTTGGCGTCCTTCCTGTATCTGTCCCGGTACTAAGAATGGAACCCAGGGCCTCCTGTGTTTGCTAGGCAAGCACTCTGCTACTGAGCTACATCCCAGCCCTCTTGAAAAAGTGCATTTTGAGACAGGGTTTTGCTAAGTGGCCTAGGCTGGCATCAAACTCATGATCCTTCTGCGTCAGCCTCCTGAGTAGCTAGGATGTACAGGTATGCACCACTGTGCGTGGCCTGACCCATCTGTTCTAATGTCCAAGAGGTTATAGATGAGCCGAATGCATTTTGATCTTTTCTCTGTGGTCTTCACGTTATTTCCAAATCTTCCTATTACGCATACTTTCATGATGAATATTTTCATGCAAACATCTCAGATCTCACGTAGCCCTGTCACATCCCCGGAGAGATTCCCTGTTGTGAGTCAGTTGGTCAACGCCACGTGTTTCTGACGTTGAGGGATATGAACAGTGAAGAAGCATGCCAGTGTCTCCCACACCCTCACTCACATTGAGCATGACCACTTAATACAATGGGATACTGGGCTGGGGATTTAGCTCAGTGGTTCCGCCGCCTACCTCACAAGCACAAGGTCCCGAGTTTGATCCTGGTACCAAGGGGGAAAAAAAAAAGGAATACTAAGCCAGACCTGATGGTGCACACCTGTAATCACTGCACTCAGGATGCTGAGGCAGGAGGATCGCAAGTTTGAGACTAGTCTGGGCAAGTAAAAAAGACCCTGTCTCAAAATAATAAATAGGGCTGGGATATAGTCCGGTGTGAAGAACCTAAGTTCAAAATCTAGTACCAAAAAGAGAGAAAAGAATATTGATGGTAAGCTAAGAGAAAACAGCCCTCTGACCAGACTGTTGCCATCTAGGTGCTGGTCTCCAAGGCACTGCCACTCCCCAAAACCATTCAGATAAGGAGGCCAGGGCACCAGCCCGGGGCAAAGTGTTGGCCTCTATCTGTAGGGTGACTGTGCTCTTTGTCCACAGGGGACAGCCCCTGCTTACATCCGAAGCTCGTCATCATTATGGATGCGCCCTAGGGTCCCGGCGTCCACCTCTGCCCCGCTCCAGAGCGCATCCCTGCCCCTGCTGGGCGGTGCCACCCCGTCAGAGCCACCCCCTCGGGGCCCCGCCCACCTTGTCACTCACCTCCCACTCGCTTCCCCATCAGCCCAAAGAACCGCCTGGCCTCCTGCAGCTGGAGCTGAATGCTGGGCACGGGGACCTCCTGGAGAAGCAGAGTTAGTGCGGGAGTTTGGGGGAGGTTGGCAGGGAGACAGGTGGGAAGCAGGAGCCGAAACAACCCAGCTTCCATTCCTCAGACGCTCTGCTGCGCCGGCGCTGGCCTCTCCTGAATATTTCCTTTCATTCTGGTATTTTGAGACAGGATCTCACTATGTAGTCCAGGCTGGCCTTGAACTCACTAAGTAACCCAGGATGGCCTCAAGCTCAGTGATCTTGCTGCCTCAGCCTCCCTGGGTGCTGGGATTACAAGTGTGTGCCACAACGCCCGGCCTTTTCCTACACGTGTTATACCATGTTGTGTGTTATAAGTAATGGCTAACAACCCACCTACTATGTTCCTGGCACACACAGTACCCAGTACTCTTACTGTCACCACTCTACAGAGGGAAACAGAGGTGCACAGAGATTCCACAGCATATCTGAAGTTCTCCAGCCAGGAAGCGGGGGATGGAGCCAGAACTGGAACCCAGGCCACCCGGCGCGAAGGCTGGGCTCTCGGATCCTACAGTCAAAATGTCACCCTGTCTCCACAGCCACCATCAGAGTACGGAGGGGACTTCTCCAGCCTGGCTTCCATAGGTGGAAACCAAGACAGAAGGTGACTCAGTGACGGCTCCAGTCACACAGGAAGTGACCGACCACAGTTCACAAGTCCAACTTCTGGTACAGGTTCCGCTCCATCTTGGGAAATGTCATTCGCTGGGAAGGATGAGGAGGGGCTGCCTGTGACAAAGGGAGAGCACCTGGGAGGCCAGGTGGACCTGCTTCTGCTCCCAGAGCCCTCTATGTGGGCTCTGCTCTGTGCCCAAGCACCGCCCCCTTGTCACGGTTAACTGTCCCCAGAGCCTGTGTCTCAGAGGTGGACTGCAGCCATTTTAATCCTTACCCTAAATGGACAAATGTCCTGACCCAGGCTATGGACTGAAGTTCTCACTCCTCAGTGACCTATGACCTCACCTGGAGTCCCCCCAGCAGAGGGGCTCCTTGGTCCAGCAGCCTGGAAGTAGGCCTGCCCAGAGGTGGGGCGCTGGGGCTGGGCAAGGGCTCTGTCCTGCATCCCAGGGACCAACGGAGATCCAGCTGGGGGCAAAGAAACTCAAATGCTTTTCACAGCGCATCTTGTCCCAACTTTCAGGATCCGGAGGGACTGTTTTCCAAGCCCTGGACTAATTCAGTCACTTCCAATCTGTCTCCTCCCTGGACGTCGGTGGCTGGGGCAGCTGTCTCGGGCTGGAGTCGCCCAGCCTGGCCAGAAACCCGAGAAGACTCTTTGGAGATTTGGACCCATTTCTGAAAAGCTCATGAAAACCACTTTGCTTTGGTAAAAGGCAGCTTCAAACATGAGTTGGAAAGAATGGCCTCTTACAAATTAAACAGGGCTGACTCTTCTCCCTCTCGCCGGCTATTTCTGGGGATAGAGAGGCACTAGAAAACCCTCCAGATCTGTGTTGACCTGAACCCCCAGCTCCAGAGAGGACTGCAGTGGAGCCCTGGAAACTAGGGGGTGACCAGATCACCCTGGAGGTGTTTCTGCCCTCGTCTGCCACTTCATCCCAGGAACCCGGATGGTTGACGCTGAGCCATAAAGCGCGTCAAACCTGAAACATAGCTGAGGGTGACCTGCGCCCTTCCGTTTTGCAGGTGGCAAAACTGAGGTCCGAACAGCAGCAGGAGTCCGTAGAGAAGCTGAGATTTGAACCCCGGTTTCCAAGGCCTGCTCTTTTCTCCCTTCTGCCCAGACTTTCACTGTTACACCGGAAAGGAGCCTACCACGCACAGCTATCCAGGCCGTGACGCTTCCTGTGGTCCCAGAGACCTCATTGTGGCCCAGGACTCCAGGCCCAGGGCAGCTGCACCATCCCAGATGGGAGGAGTTGGCCCGGCCAAGCCCCCCTGCAAGCCTTCCCGGAGTGCCGTCCCTCCCTCTCCTGCGGGAGCTCCAGGGTCAGGGGCTTTGTCCCCGCCATCAGATCTGCTCAGATGAGGGGACGTGATGGTGAGATGCTGGGTTTCCAACTTTTGGCGCCCAGGAAGTTTCGAAGAGAAAACTATAACAGCAGGACTTGTTGGGAAAGCAGAAGAATTTCTCCGGACATAGGAGACTGAAGAGCTGCTCCTCCAGAAAGGAAGCTGGACAATCTTGCATCACACCTTGGACAGGATGGGCAGCTGCACTTCTGTCTTGGTATTTGTGCTGCCAAAGCGAGCACGCGGCTGCACTTCTGGAGCTACGCAATCTTGAGCAAACTCACTGATCTCTCTGGCCTCAGCTTCCTTGCCTGCGAAACTTTCCCATGAGGCTGATGGAAGGTTAAATGAGTTAATGCTTAGAAAGGATTTAAGAAAGTATATCAGGAATGCAGTATATGGGTTTTCTTTCTTTCTTTTTTTTTTAGACAGGGTCTCAATGTATAATTGAGGCTGGCCTTGAACTCACTGCGATATTCCTGCCTCAGCCTCCTGCGTGCTGGGATGATAGGCGTCCACCAACAGCCCCCCCCAAATGGTAAACGGTTCCCTTACTGGGAGTTGAACCTAGGCTACTGTGTTAAATAAGTGCTTCTCTGACACACACTCTCTCTCTCTCACACTCACACACACACACACAGTTGCTCCTGTGTGTCAGCTGTGAGCTCCTTCTGCGGCCTGCCAGGCCAGGGGTTGTGGCCTTGAATCCACCCACAGAGGGTGCAGCCCACCTGCCTTGCAGTGCACCAGATGGGGCAGGTCCTCCACCCTCCTGGTCAGAGCTTCCCCACAAAGGTACCTCCAGGGCCACGGTCACCCAGGGCCTCTCTTCAGTGCCGAGTGCCAGTTTCTCTCCGCCGTGGCCTGCCGAGGCGCACACGTACAGCCCTGCTAGGAGAAGCGTGGCCAGGCAGGGCAGCATGGTGGGTGCAACTGAATCGGGGACCCTCCGGGAGCCCTCTCCGCCTGAGGATGCTGCTGGCCACAGGCTCCGTCGCCTCTTGGCTGCTGGAGTGTTTGTGGGGGACGCGCCCCTGTTCTCTGGTCTTTCCAGCTTTGTTCTTCCTTCTCTCAGTTTATCCGACCTGGTTTTTCCTGTAACGCCCCTCCCTGTCTGGAAAGGCCAATGACAGCAGGAGCAGCTGGGGAGGAGGAACCAGCCCCCTGCCACCCCCAACATTTGATCCGGGGCTTAGCCCTCTGATGCAACCCCCGCCTGGCCTTGGGCTGAGCTCCCTGGCTGCCTCCCTCTGCAGGTGCACGAAGGGCAGCGTGGGGCTGTAACCCTTGGCGCCTCCTCAGGCCCAAGGCCTCTCCCCAGAATTCAGCCCGCCACCCCATCACTTGTCTCCCCTTCCAGTCACTGAGCCCCTCTTCCTCAGCATTTCCCCCTTCAGCAAGTCCCCCCAAAGAAGTGAGGCTCCAGCCTGGGCAGGGTGGTGCATGACTGTCACCCCAGCACCGTGGGAGGCTGAGGTAGGAGGATCCCAAGTTCCAGCCTAGCCTAGGCAAGTTAGCTAGAGTTTGTCCATCGGGACTCAGTGGTCAGACACCTGAGTTCTGATTCTGGTCCCCTCACTGAACTGCTGTGTGACCTGAGGCACACAATTTAACCTCTCCAAACCACGGGGCCGCCATCTGTAAAGCAGTGTTGATAATAGCACTGGGTCCAGAGTGTGGGTGGAGATAATGTGTAGGGAGCTTTTAGTGCAGGGTGTGGTGGTAAATATTTAATGCCCTGAACTGTCATTAGTGACTGTTACCAACACTGGGCTATGGAAGATGATGGAGACCCCACTCCTGTGAGACAGCAGCTCCCAGTCCATGTTGGGTGGGCAGAGGAGCGAGTCCTGCGTGGCCAGTGCAGTGTAGAGGGGAGGTATGATGGGGCCGGCCCCCCTCCCAGCCCACCCCCACCTGCTCTCAGCATAGGTTTTGCCTTGAAATTGTGATCCTACCACTTCAGGATTAGCTGGGATTACAGGTGGATACCACAGGGCCTAGCAGGTTTGATCCTGCTTACTGTTCACCTCCTCGCTGGTTTTTCTGTCTCTACTTCTGTCTCCAGCAAGAATTAATTGGACTCTTTCCCACTACCTCCCACTTGTAGTGCTTGTGGCTGCTGTGAAAAGTTGTACAGATTGTGTACTGCACAAAGGTGGCTCCTAGTGGGAGCGCTGAGGCCACAGACTCAGGAGAAGGTGCTGGGCTTGGGACAATGCTGCTAGTCAGCCACTGGGTAGTTGAAGGGCCGGGAGCTTTCTGAAAGGGAGCTGTGAAAGTTGTATGCCTGGCACATAGTAGGTCCAAAATGAAAATGCACCAGCTGAGTCCAGGCCCACCAAAGCAGAACTAAACAAGGGAGTGTGGAGCACTTGGACGCAATGCCTTCCCCATACCCCTTCCACCAATTGCTAGTGGGCCCTGAACCTGATGGCTTCAAAACTCCAGCAATTGTGAAAACGCGGATTGTGTGGCTCAGCCTAATTCCCAGAGCTGGCCTGGCCTGAGGGTTCCTCTGGGCACAACAGGAAGGCCGTCACAACAGCTCTCATTCAACTCTCCTCAGGACAGGGTGCCTAATTAATGTTTCATGTGCAGTTTTGGGTTTTCCAATGTTGGTAAGCTTTTCCTTGCAAGAAATAGAGTTTTGCCGTTCATTTTACAGATGTGGAGGGCCAGGGATTTAGCTCAGTGGTTCTGCTGCCCTCCTAGCAAGTGCAAGGACCCGAGTTCATCCCCGGTACAAACAAACAAACAAACAAACAAAACCCCAAAACCAAAACACAAAACCACAGTTTACAGATAGAGAAATTGAGGCATGCCGGGCTTATTCTGAGAATTAGTAGACTAACTGGGACAGGCCTTTGGACCTGGGGGCCTTCCATCCGCAGGTGCAAAATAACCCCAAGAGCTATCTGGCCTCAGTTTCTCTTCCTGCAGTGTGAAGCTGCGGCTAGGGCGCGGTAAAGACTGCACCAGTCCTGCTGGTAAAGTGCCCGACCGGCGCTCAGGGGACCCTGAGGCACTGTGATCACCAGAGTCCCGCACCAGGCCCCAGCGCTGGTCTCCCGGCCTCCCTGCTGGGGACGCTGCGCCCGGAGCGCAGGGCGGCAGGAACCGGGGAGAGAAAACCCCGAAGGCCGGAGCGGGCAGGACACCGGCTGCAAACCGCGGCTATTTGGAGCGTCGCTCTCCGGCTGCGGTCAGGCTGG